ATAGATGGTTGTTCTAAAGTTTGCAGCATCGTTGCGCATCTCACCTCCTGTGGGTATTTGGCGTGGTTCGGCGAGACGAGTTTCGCCGAAGACTCGCTAACCTTTGGTCGGAAATGCTAAGGATGTTTTTAAAAATATGCTTAGAAGACAAAACCTTATCCTTTATTAAGCTATTTGCACATAGTTATCAATGTGGGTATATCAGATAATTACAGATTATTTAATAAAAGACATCAAAATGCAGAAATACAAAAATATTTGTCATGATTCACGACTTCAATTTGTGAACTTGGTGCACTAGCAGTGGTAGACATGAATATTTACAAAAGAAAAAAATTAACTTTGGGTCAACTTAATGAATACTTGAATTCGAAGAAGTTTCTAATCACTCACTGAAGCGTTGTTGGCCTCGTAGGAACAGGTTCTGAAGGACCGGACTCGAGAAACCCGCTATCTTCAGTCTAGAAAAATTAAAAGAGCCCATTTTACTGCTCAATATGATGATGGGAGCCTACAGGGGAGCCTAAATGCTATCAAATCCTTGACACGTTCGATTGTAGGTTCAAGTAATTGTAAATAAAGTATATGCAAACAGAAATAACCATGAACATAACTGGGTTTTGTTTTGTATGCATAAAACAGACAAAATTTATTTAACGCAATAATTTGCTTTGCTAATTGTATAATATTTATAAATAGCAGAGTTATCCACAGTTAAAGCTATATTCAAAATTACTTCGCATTAAAGCATTGTAATTTTATTGGGCATAAAAATTTTGGAATGAATTGCACGGCACAAATCACCCAATTAAAGTCAAGACAATAATTAAAACTACACCATTAATATGTAACTCAACAAAAGGAACAACTCGCAGTTTTTAGTATTAATGACGCAAAGGCTTACACGTAAATCTGGGTCGCATTCGATCCCGGGCGACATGACAAAGTCTTCTGGTGTTATAGATACCTTCCGTCCACTTAGGTTTAAGGTCATTGTTTTTCGCTTAAGTTCTTCGCGATCTTAATTACAAAAATCACAATAAATTTTGATTAAATACCCTGACAATTGAAAAAGTTTTGGAAGGCTGATTGGAAGTCTTCAAATGAAATTATACCATCCTTTTGAGGATCAAGTGCATTAACAATATTATTAACATCCTAAACTGATCATAATTTTGAAGTACAAACCATAGATTGCATTCGAGTTATCTTGGGACTCGGAATATCTTCCGAACTGCATTGAGACATTGATGTATAAAACTTTTCCAGTGCACTGGTGAATTGCTCAACTGTTATGTATCCTCTGTTTCCTTTATCAAGAGCATCGAAAACCTGACGAAGTGTGTCAGAATCCACGTTCATTTTCAGGAATCAAACACTGGAAATAAACTTAACTTTTAGCAAGCGGGGCGTCCTGACCTCTAAAAGAGAGCGACAAAACAAAACCAAGTAATAAAAGTCACAGCACTCAAAAATGCGTAATATTTATGAAAATACATCTGTATATCTACTTAATCTTAACAAAATTTTATGATACCATTGATTTTTATTTCGATTTTGTCGGTGTGTCAGGACATCTATTTGTTTTGAAATAATTCACAGCGTTTAGTTTCAAAATAAATAATGTCAATAAGATTTAACTTCGTCATCTAAAGGATTTAGTGTATGTACACGCATATATGTGTCACTATTATACATGTACAAGTCGCTCGTGCTGGTTTGCCGAAATTTGAAAACAAATTTTAAACGTTCCAATTAGTTCAAATATCCACGTCTTTTGAGATTTTTTGTGAAAACGCAGGCGAAATATTAATACACATAGTTGAATTAATTAATTATTAGCTTAATTAGTTTATACTTGCATAAGAATGCGATGTTCTGACAATCAATTAGAGTGTTAATGGTATTACGAACGCTTGCCCTGAAAAAATACATTTTGCATAGGTCATACCCAAAGTAATGCATTGATTGACAATTTTTTTCATATATCCTAACGTCTTATAGCAATCATTGAAATCATATATTCGTCAGCCGTGTTTATTCCTATATTTAATTATTGCCTAAATAACACATTACCACAATATTTTCACTCTATCCGCTGAATAGTTAAGGTATGACCAACAGTTTGTTATTTATATGCTTCAAACCAAATTAATCCCAGCGTACGCAATTCCTGTGAAAGTTTCACTAGCTAAACACAACAGAACCTTGCTCATTGAGAAACAGAATCTCAAAACTACAAATTGACACAATCGGCTTCCATATTCAATGACCACACTAATGTCTACCTCCTGCTACAGTTAAAATACCTCCTCGGTCAGGCCCCATAAACTACAGTATTAAAACGCCATCTGAATACAAGCAAAGTATCGGGAAGTAAAGACCCTGTTCTAAGCCCCTGGGCATTTTAGCTGAGACTTCAACGTTCGTATAAGCGTCATCGTCTGCGAACACACCTGTTGACCAAACTCTCGGGCTACATTAATTCTTGTATTAATACGTCAATGAAAAAAATATGCATCATTAGTGCTAGCATTGAGGATTAATTTCAGCATGTGTTAACTATGGAAAATCGTGTTAAGTAAGAGGTCATGTGACAAAGCAGAAAGATTACTCAGAAGTTTTGCAATTCGACATGACTTGCGATACACCTCACAGCTCTCAGCACGACTTAAATCTCGAGATGAAGATTATCGACGTGAGATTTTGCGTAATTCCTCCAGTTTTTACCCCTACGTAAACCGACCACGTGAACCTTTTCTATCGGCAGAGTAACTCAATGCCTCACAGCTAAAAAGAGTAAGAATGGCAACCTTTCACCGCCAAAAGATAACGGAAGTAAAAGACCGTTGGAAAGAAGATCGAAGCGATTCGTGCCCGATGATTGTTGTTAAGGGCAGATATTTGATGTGTCAAGAGATTGCCAAGGCACAAAGTCTTTAGCCCACATTCACCTAAGCAGATTAAATCGCCCATTAAAATCTTGGAGCCATAAACCCTGATACGAAAATGCATGGTGTCTTCACGGTTAAATACTTCTAATCCGCCAAAATCTTGTAATCTAATTAAGCTATTACAGTTAACACGGCCAGTCGACTAAAAACGTGGAAGCTTGAGTGTAAGTGGGATGACGGGCATCGCATGAGGCCTCATCCTTAAGCGCACACTTTGGCGACAAAATTACACTCGCAAAAGACACGTTAAAAACAAGATCCCGGATTAATAACTGTACAATAAACAAAACTCCACCTCACAGCAGTTATATTCTATCATGCCTAATCGTGACGAACCTAATATATAATAACCGTTAACCAATCAATGTCTCAAGTCTATTTTGGGAGACAATAATTATGGCAGATGGAATACCTACTAATTTTTTTCCGACGATAAAATACTAACTAATAAGGTACAGGTACCAATTAAAAAAATTAAAAAAAGTGCATAGAACAGAAGTTTAGATAACTGGAAAACACTCAGCAAATCTTGACGAAATAGGACACCAAAGAGGCGAAAATTTACACCAATCACATGGCAAAGTGGCCTGAATTGGGAGAAAGCAAGGCATTGTTAGTGGGCATGTTGTCTTCACGTCGTTCCACGGTAGGAGTTCCTGCTGTTGCCACAGCAACGGCCGCCGCTGCTCTGTTAAGGCGCATATGCGCTTTCACGAGATCGTTGGTCGCCAAAGCCGCCAACAAGGAGAGTTCCCCAGCCACCACGACGCCAGCGAGCAAACGTGCAAGATGCTGGGCAGGACGTTCTATGGAGAGGTCAAGCATTTCAATGCAGGCACGTTGTGCCGGTAGGCGGGTACCACCACCAACAGTTCCCACTTCTACGCAGGGCATGGTTACGCTTACGTATAGACTCCCATCGGATTCTGCTTCCAGTTGCGTCAGACAAGCACTGGAATCCACCACCTGAATAAAATGCAATAGTATTACAAATAGGAAAACTTACCGAATGGAGGAAGAGAAAAATGCAATTTCAAGCTACCATTCTCGGAAAAAGTACGTGCACTTCCTATGACTAATTAGACACCCATTAGTCCAACTCGATATTTTGCAGTGGTGGTAAATGGTGCCATGGAGATATAGGCCTAAATCGATGGTACACATAAATCATTAATGATATGAATGAACCTTGGTGCGACCTGTTAATTTCATGAAAGCTAGCACCAGTACATGTGTTACTATCATAAGGAACAATTAAAGAGACTAAGAAGTTGACAGAACAATCGAAACTAGCGAACACGTGTAAACCAGATATTTTTCATGAATTGAAGGCGATTTTAAATAATGGAGTACGGAAGTCAACGGTACATCTCGATTAAAATCGATTGAATTTTACACCTTTTGTTGTGAATACCAAATTTAAAATAGATGAAACCAAACCAAGATTTTGCCCCCGATTAGCGCCAAAATACAGCATGGATTTAGTGGGCGTCACGAACACCAAACACTAGTTTGCAATTGAAAACATTTAAAAAAAATTGCCAATCCACTGAACTGCAATAGACGACGGTCCGCAGCAGCCCATAACATCAGTCAAATTGACTGGAAGATATTAAAAAAAAAGGAGATAGGACTTCATTTTACTAATTCAGCAAGGCTGAGGAGGAGCACGTGAGGCAACCCAGTGAAGAAATACAGGGCGCGGTTGGGTTGGTACTGTTTTGCCAATTCCACATTTAAGATAAAAGATGCCAAATACGAATAACTCCCTAAGCTGCTCAATGAGAGCAATATTCTCAGTGAAAGGTCAAAGTGGGCAGCATAGCTTTTCGATTAGATAAAAGGAACCGCTTTGGGGCAGTACGCACTTGTGCCAGATCCTGTCCCGTTGCAGCAAAAAAGGCAGCCACCAGGTTAGCAGCGTGGGCGTTGCACCCGGCCATCCCGGGAACGCCGGCCATAGCCGAGCCAGTCCAGTGTTTGATGCGGGTCAGGCGAGCGAGACTGGGCGCATCGGTGCGCAGTATCTTGGAGACGACACGACCCGGCAGACGGGCCTCCGCGAGAACCGACTTCCCACGACCCAAAAAATGGTTGATTGCTGCCGGCTTCTTGTCGGTGCACATATTGCCGCTCAGCGAGACCACCTACAAGATGGAATGCTCGATTGATAAGTGGCGTTTCAAAACAGCTGTCAAACCATGGTCGATGTGATTCAAATTGATGACGTCATTCTATCATAATCTGATGTGGTGCGGAATGATTAAATGCGATCACCAAATAGAAAGAAGTCAAGAACTAAGGATGACACAAAACCATCACCCAGAACACAAATCGGTGCTGATCCGCAAAGGCATGCTTGAAAAATTCCACATGACTATGAAATCGGAGAATACGAGACATTGGATCGCATGGTTCTCGAACCGTCGACGTAAAAGGGATGCACTTTTTAATGAACCGAAACGTTCAGATGCATCAAGGTATGATGTGCACCATAAGAGAAACTTAAGACGCTCGGAAAATCCTGCACGAAACCTTCAATGAGTAAAACTTTTAACTCACATCTCTTAAGCCAGAAAAACCGGAATTTTAGTTAAGATTTGCTCTGCTATTTGTGCAGATGGCATTTGACGTAAGAGAGGCTGACCTGCATTTTAGGAAATTTCTTGACCAGACACTGAATCGCCCGATCGGTTCCCTTGCTCACCATATTCATGCCCATAGCCTCGCCAGTTCTCGCAGCAAAGCGAATATGAAGATATCGACCTGCCTGTAAAATTAATTGACTCGTTACAAATGGGTCTTTCCTATAAACGACACCAAATAAACACAAGTTAGGCACACAGTTAGCTTTTTTAGAACAAATAGGTGAACACAAATGTGCTTATGAGAAATGGTCCCCCAAAAATACTTCACAACAAGGTAGTGGGGTCTCGGTTGTGAAACAAGTGTGTTGCACATTAGCCACAGAAAGTTACGTAGGTTGAAATGGTTAATAACGGTAATTGGATAGCGTGACGGGAACTGAGGGCACCAACTTTGGGAGGCATAGTAATTTGTAAGTGTAAAAGAAGCATAATTAAGGATTTCAGATATTACAGTCACTGAAAGGCAAGCTAAGCGTTGGCAGTGTAACCAGGCACAACAAAACACTAGAAGTCGTCAGTAAGACGAATGAAAATGAATTCGAACCAGCAATACCATGTTATAAAGGATTAACTTAGCGTCTCCACCACTTACTGGGTTGGGGAATATGGATAGAAGGTTGGCATGGGAACTTGTTTCATTGAAAGCCGACCGAAGAGTTTCGAAGCCTTGGCGGGATTCAATCCAGGCTATACATTCAACCACATCTGCGATTGATGGAAAGGCCACAACAGGGGCACGTGTCATTTGATCCCTGTGTGGTAAGAAGACAATAGAGCGCGTACTTAACAACCAAACTGACATACAGCTATAAAGCTATTATGCTAACCTAAAAAGGGCAGTCCGTACGCCACCGGAGAGGTACAAGGCCCGACAACCGCGATTGGTGCTTGCGACTAGACAGCCTTCAGTAGTGGCAAGGGGTATGTAGTGTTCTCGGCCGTCCAGTAGTAAGGGACCGACCTTTCCCAAGGGTATCGGTATGTAACCAATAACCTAAAACAGCGGAGGGGGGCACGATAAAAGCTTACCGACTTAGGGACGTAACAGGCGTAAATAAAACTGAGAAGTCCTATTTTCACAACAAATCTTGAAATTAAGGTAGCACGGTTGAAAACGAGCTCTAAGTTTAACCGAAAGTCCTATGTTGACAAGCAATGACGATTGGTCCAATTAAAATAGATAAATTATGTGCAATACAGTGGCCAATTTCTTACACAAACGCTGTGAAGTGTGGAAAGTTAGAGATCAAAGAGCAGATTTAGGAAGTGGTCAAATGATAACAATTTGTAAGAACGGTCCTCCAACATCCGACGATAGCTTTTTAAATTATATATTCGAAACCTGGAAATTTGTAAGTTTTAGAGTAGTCGATTAGGGGTTAAGACTGATGGTATATGATGATAGCCTACTTATTACTAGTTACATTTTACTCCCACCAGTTTTAGCTTGAAAACTTAGGCTTTACCTTTTCGTGAATGCTATTAGAAGTAAGTGATAACGATTAGATTATAGGATGAAACGTTTGATTATGTCTGTAAAATAAAAGGGCCATGGAAAAACGGTAACCACTTTACATCGCTGGGTAGCAGGACCAATTAAAAAACATGAACTAGTAGCCGGTAAGAAAACTGTCAAAAATTAGAGTAATTGTCTGCCCGATACCGAATGGGTCAATGATTATCGCAGATGATAGAACCGGTTCCAAAGATCGGCGCGATTGTTCTCCATGCGCGGGGCAGCATTAATTCAAGCAAGCGAGAGGAACAACGACGGGTAAACTTGATGGGCAAAAGCAGTGGTCTTACCTCTTCACAGCACTGCCCCATAACCGGCCGATAGTCAAAATTGCCGAACGGAATGTGATCAATAGCGTGGGGGTTGGTAAGCCTGGAAGCTAATTCCTGCCTGCGAAGACTGACAGCCCTTGGCAAATTCTCAACCGCAGATTCAAGCTCCCGAGTTTTCAGTCGCCCTTCACGAACTAAAGTCAACACTTCCGAATCCTTAAGGCTGGAAATCTGGAGACATTTTAGAAATGCAAAATTAGACAGGGGTGTCGGCTACTATAACCTAAGCGAGGTTATAAAAGCGACTGCAAAACCCGAATAACACACAAGTACTGCCAATTACTATCAAACCGAATAAAAAAAAATAAATAAATCCGGCCAGTGTCAAAACTTTTCTACGCATTTAATCAGGAAGACTGTCACACGATTCACTGGAAGATGCTTTGCATGGTTATCCACCTTGACTACTAATAATTCATTTCTAGTAAACCAAATGACTAGGAAATAATTATTACATTGTCCTCTGCGATTTTTCCCATACTAAAATGCTAAATTATGGTATGAGGAGGTTTAATGGGATTTCCTTACTAAATTTACCATTGTGCTTAGTATATAAGGAACGCAACATCTGAGACCAAAGGTGGTGATTAAAAGCCAGTACCTACAAAATCCCATTAGATCGTTGTTGACATACAAGAGTAAAAAAGAAGAACACTGGTTTCCGGGTGGTTGTCAACCTCGATATTCACATAAGTCATTTAACAAAAAAACACTTTCTACTGATTTACTAGAAAAACCTTGGGTTAATTTGGGCAAAACAAAATTAAATAAGAGCAATAAATATGTAAATAAAATAATAGGTATATGGTTGTGAGCAGTACAAAACCTCAGTTATTTAACTAAAAATAGTTATTCGGTGGGTTAAACAAAGTGCTTTAGACTTGACACAAACACATGCATTGATAAATTAACAGTATTAAGGAATAACATCTTGCATTTGTTCTGAAGCTGCCATACAATAAAATCTCAAATTCATAAAATTTATTAATTATTCTGAGCATGATATGCTAACAGAATGATAATCTAATTCTTAACACAGTGCTTGCGACGGTCACGCGTAAATAGAAATACACGAATTAACTACGCATCTCACATTTACACCAAAAAGACCACTGGATACACTTTCGTACATACCCACTGTGCGTCAGATGTACGAGACTTCGCAGCACAAGGTGGCTTAACAGGTTTCTGAATAGCAAAGCTGACTTCCTCCATTTCGCTGAATGCTGGTGCCTCTGGTAATACCTTCGCCTACAAAATTAATCCAGGTTAAAACTAGGAATACAAGCACAGGCAGAAAAAATTGGCTTACAGTAGTTCCGGTTATTGAACCATTCATAGATTTTGTTGCACATTTTTCTTCGGAACAATCGGAGGCGGCTCGCTTCCTTGACGTTTGGATTTTCGGCTCTGAGAATTTGTCACAGGTGAAACTCCACGAAAGGGAGTATTTAAGAAGATTGAGAAAGGAAACGATAATAAGTATCGAACCGATGCACAGCCATACATTCATTAAAGTTAGATGATCAAGTGAAGTCTTCATAAACCCTCCAAAGTAGATGCTCAAGGCGATGGTCTGCATAATGGGTAGGATGTTAACAAGAACCAGTACCACGGTAATTATGAGGTGAACAGTGTATCGAAGATTTGAGTTAGTGTTTAGGAGGGGACTAGTGTCACACTGAACAGGAAAAGTCTCATTCTCAGACCGAGAACGATATCTTCCTTTCACAATAAAACGCGATCTGAAACAACAGATGGAAGTCGCTATAAAAGAAGTACGAGGGGGAGCAAGCCAAACTGCCAACTCACATTTGCAGATCAAATGCGCAAATCGTCTGTTGATTATTTGCGTAGTTTATCCTAATCAAGACAGGAAGAAGGCTGAACGTCGACATAAACACAACAACAAGATATGCTCTCAGGCGCTCGCAAATGATGGCCACATCCGAGTTAAACCAGCGACTAGCAGCATTAAGAAGCAACAGTTTCATAAAATGGTCCACCACGGCATTGCTTAGTGTAACAAGAAAAACCGCGGCTTCGATCGAATGGAGTTTAAGATAGTTTTCCCTGTCAAAGTGATTATAGCCGGAAGTAGGTAATGAGATGCAAACCTAAGTGTAACAAAAGGAAAAGAAGGAACCCACTTTAATTAGATTTGGAATAAACGCCCAGTCAATAGTAAGTAGAACAAGTCCTATACATATGAGGTCCTGATAAAAAAAACCTCCGTTCCATGATAAACTAATGACAAGGGATGACACTGTACATAGAAAGAGCAAGCGATAAAAATGACGAGCTCTAAAATTAGTTCCAGGACGATACAAAGCTGCGTCCTCAGAAAGGCGAGTGGAGTAAAGTCTTAAAATTGACAGCAATATACAAAAAAGCGTGAACACGAAAGCGTAGACGTGGTGACTTATACATTCGACAAATTTGAATAAGTCAAATTGTTTTTTTAACTGAGAGGCACAGTATGCTTGGCAAAGAGCCCATAGAAATATTGTCTTCATGGGATGTAATAAACTCCAGTAACCAAGAAAAAGGGCTAATGAGTGAGACAGGTGAATCGTGCTAGTCGTCCGTGAGAAGACCATCGTGCTGCCTTTCTTAAGCATTCCATCGTGCCGCCATTCTTTGGTTATGTTGACCTTAAAAAACATATATTAATTTTCATATTTTTGGTTATTGTATTTTATTTCAAATATTTATTTTCAGCCAGCTTATTATAGATTTGCTAAAAAATTAAAGGGAATTACATCTTATCAACTGATAAACTGCAGACATTTCTGCTTGAAGGTTTATTGGGCGTGGTCGATCTTTATATAACTCGCCTCGGGATGGTGTCAAAGTTTTTGCCGACGATACTTCGCAGCGGTTTCTTGTCATGCTTGCGAATCGAAAGTGCGGTTTTTAGTTCGTTTGCACCCGTGACTAAGCGTAGTTGCTTCGATGTAACCCGTTCAGTGCACTCTCTCTCTTGCAATCAATTAAACTTCCCTCGCGTTTTAAATTTGCCATCAAGAAACAGTACAATATTCACTTCATTAACGAGCGACGTTATCTGGGAAGGTGTCACTGGACCAAAAGGCAGTACGAAGAAACGAGCACGAGGAAAGCGTCGGGTGACGCGGCCAAAAATTGATTTAAATCGTGGACAGAGAATTGGCTGCAATCGTGAAGGTTATTTGTGGCCCGGTTTGAATGCTCCTCTCTATGAACAATCCTTCCTGCGGAAAGTTCAGAAAGTTAGTTCGTTTATAACTGAGACTGTTAGCTTGGTCATAAATGATCTTTTAGTTTTATACAAATAGTTACCCGTTGTAATAAACCTGAAATAATTCCCTTGTCTCCCGTGGCCGCTAATAACATCAAATATGCGTCAAGATATGTCGCCTTGCTTTAGGCTAAAACGGTCCCTTGTTTCAGCCCTTTAGTTGTGTCAGCACACGTTATTGCTTCGGAGTATTTTTTAAATCAAGTGATTTATGGTTTGTTTGCAGCATTTAATATGCACATAACATATTTGGATTAATATGAGGTTATGTGTCGCATCTTTTCGAAATGCTGTCAATGTCTAGTAATGTGACAGTGTTTGTTTTTTTTAGGGTGATGTTAATCAGGAATATTTGAATAAACTGGAAGAATTGAGAAACAAATCCGCGGTGAAAAGAAAGCGGGTAAAGTTACCTCCTCTTCTCCGAGGGTGGACAGGCGCGAGCATGGGTGGACAGTCTTTGGGCCCCTTAGAATCCGGTTCCCCAGGATTCGATTCGCGCGTTTTAGAGCTCAAGGTTAATTTTTTTCATTGGCGTACTTTACTAATATGATTTTTGTGCTTTTGTTAGTTTTTAATGTTAGTTCTTGGCGCCTTTAATTCAAATATTATTGTAGGAATCTTTGTCGTTTTCTATTGTGTTTGTCGATACACAGATGATGCTCTATCTGCGATGCTCTATGCGTGTTCTATCATAACTATTATTGGCTTTCATGTTTCATGCAAATTTCGTACTTATTCCTATAGAACGAGAGTGAAAACGCGTTACCTTAATTCACTATTTATTCATAAATTCTCTTAATTGCCTCTCAGGCGGTGTCTACAATGACTGCGACTGTGGGTCGATATCGGAGATTCTCGGCGCTTGTGGTTGCGGGCAATGGACATGGTGTCTGTGGTGTTGGCAAGGCTCGTTCCGTCACTATGCGAGCGGCCCTAAAAAGAGCAAAAAACCGCGCCTTTCTTAACCTGATTTCATTTAACCTTAAAGAAAACCGTACTCGTGAGTTTCACTTATCCTTTTGCCTGTTAAGATCACCTGTCATCATATTTACTTTATTGAAAGGAATACAAAGTGCTTCATTTTATTTTTCCTCCGCCGCCTTAACCCAATATTTTTTTGTGTTTCACAAAATAAATCGTTGATCATGAATCCAAAAAAGCCGACAACCAATATGCCTATACAATCGAAATCTCAAAATTATTCACAGGGCATCGCTTCTATATTAAGTTCAATTGAGCATTTGTCAAAAGTTCGCTTGTATCAAGCAATCACTTGTTGTATTTGGCCCGTTGCTTACTTTCTGCTTTCCCACATTAGTGTGGCATCTAGGTCACGTTCGGGAATGGCACACCACAATCTACGCCACACCGAAACCTGAAGGTATGTCCTGTTAATTAATTTTAACTTGTAATGAATATGTGGCCATTACTGATCACAAGTAGACATGTATCAACTGCTCGAGCAGACAGAATTTGCTGTCGAATGCGCGATTCCGCTCTCCGGTGCAGTACCTCGTTACACTACAAGGTACCAAGACTTGAATGCCTCCTGCATCCGGCACCTATCTGGAGCTTTTCGTACAGATACAAACGAGTCCCACAAAACACGTCGGAATCGTCGGATAACTACCCTTGTATTATGTCCTTCACTAATGTGAAAATGGCTGTTTCTGCATCGTTAAATTCGCTATTCGTTCTCTTGCTTTTATGGTTTAATCCTGATACGTGGAGACTTAAAGATTACCAACTCCGTATTGGCATCCCTCTTTGTTTGCTTCGCCTACTAGCTTTGTTTGGAGTTTATGTTTATTTCTGCTCTTTGCCTTCCTTGAGGCGTCCTCATAGCACGATAGCTTTAAAAGTCTACTATTACTTCGTGATAGAGATCACACAAAGTCGCATGTGATAATTGTCCCAATCTTTGTGCAAGTATTTAGTTTGGAGCTGAAAACGGTATGCAATTTTGGTACTACATCGCGCATTTCTAAAACCAGAAATCCTCTCACTTTAAATTCATTAGTCTGTTGATTCCTTACCTTTTTTCAGGGTACGGTTTAGTGTGCCATCGTGCAATTAAGACTCTTTGTGAGCTCATCGGTATCAAAGATATGCATGCCAAAGTGGAGGGCAACACAAAAAACTACCTCTCGATCGTGCGAGGATTTTTGCGATTACTAAATGAGCAGGTATACTCATCACTTCGGACCACCACTAGTTTTAATAATTTCTAGTGTCCGATCCTTGGGTGATCACATAAATTCTTATTTTTTTTCAGGAAACCTACGAGGACGTATCAAACCGACTGGGCATGCATGTGGTCGAATTCAGCAGGGATTATAATATGGTACCGAAAGTCCTTGCTTCTCCAAGAGCAGGTGTCACGCAGGACTGTGTGAACTACACCGGTCTCAAGTCAGACCCTCTTTTGAAGGTCCGTGCGCCACCCAAGGCTCCCAGGGTTGGTAATAAATACTCCATCGATCTTCCCTCTTTGCATGCCTTCTGGGAACACCAGGAAAAAGTACACGGCGAGCGCCCTGTACTACAGATTACAAACCCGCGTTACCCCGTCCCAAAGCCCAAGCCAGACCCGGAATTCGACCCGGTAGATGACCTAATCGACGACGAGGAGAATGAAGTCGAGGAAGAGGTTAAGCGCCTCTTAGAAAGAGGTGAACGTGACCTGGATACTATAATCACACTAAAGGGTTTAATTCCTAACATCAAGAAGAACCCACTACCTGCCTACCTCTCATCTCCTGGAGTACTCAAACGCGCCTCCGAAAGGTACCGATACAGAAATCAGGAAGCCTCCAGACGAGAACGACTTGTCTATGCTGCACTTGATGAGGAATGATGTCGATCTTTGCTACTCTTAACTTCTTTTAACTGAAAAACTTTAATAAGTGCGCACGACACTTGAGCTTGCCAGAAAATTTATACGTTCTTTACCATTCGCGAGGGTGCAGGAGGGCGCCATAGGTCATCGCCCCGGGGTCCCAATTTCATGGCCACCAATGAGAACATCACTTTACTCAGTAAATTAGCATGAGTGGCACCTGATCTAACGAGCGCACCTGCCGGCCACAATGTTTGGAGTTCCCAAATGAGGGGCTTTTGGCCACCCAAGCCGCGATAGCGCTTACGGGCCGTTCATTGCGAGCTCCGTTGACGACGCCTCCAGTTCCATGTAAGCCGGCCGTTAGCGATAAAGCTGCGACCGACCCCACGTGCACACACCGCAAAGCCAGAGCGTGGGCCTACCGGATTAAGTCAGGAACAACGCAGCCATATCGTGGCTCAAATCTCGACGCTCCGAGCAAATGATCGGCGCGCCACCATTACTAGCCCTCACGTCAACGTAACGTAGAGAGGACACAGTTTAGGCGGAATGAACTCATTGCACTGATGCGCCAAGTCGCGATCAAGCATGCAGAACCCCAACAGTATAGTGCGCGACAGACCATATATTTATTTCCAAAAGCAACAAGGAAAGAATATTGACACAAAGGGTCTGTGTTCAGAGCTGAAGGCGTTAACTCCATTCTATCGATACAGTGCCGATGAACTCGCCGACAACGAAGACCCTGAAAAGAATGATCACTTAAGGCAAAGACAGGCATTGAGTAAGTCAGTTGATAATTTAGCAGCATTAATCAGTGCACGTTTACTTCATCAAGTCTAAACGTACCAGACTGTTGTAGAATTCTCATGGTCCTCAGCAACTTGAAGACGATGGCTTAGTAATGCCTTCTGAGACCGATTTCTGCATTAACGGTAGTTTCCAGCGAAAATCGCTGAAGTAGATCGAAAGAAAGCAACTAAATCAGACCTAAAACATCTGAGGACGTAAGTCACCAACCATCGACTTCCTCCCAGTCAGTGTGCTCTGACCCATGCATTACAACACGAGTCCTAATTTCGAATGAATCCTTGAGCGGAAATTACAGCATCGAGTAGCGTCAAGTAACAGATTGAGCAGAAAATATGAAAGATTATTCACAGGCCCTCAAACAATGAACGAAGCCGCCCACGATAGAAACACCACCGACCCGCGCCCCACACTGACCCACGACGGATAAAAGCACATTAAAACAATGGACATGACACCATTTATTTAAACGTATCGAAGGTTTTCACTAATCAAAATTTCTCAAATTGAATGAAGGGTTTTTGTAGCAATTAAATCTGCTCACTGTAAATGTCGCAATATTAAACTGCAATACCAAGTATTTATGGCCAAATGTGCCTATTATTTATGTTTGAAGTATTAAATACAGGTGTTGATTGATTCCATTTACTTAATTAATTTTGCATTTGTCTAATAACAATTTTTGTTTTTATTATATGTCTTCACGATAATCTGACATTCGAGTCGTTCTGGGGCAAAGCCATTGATTTAGAATTATTACGCCATTGCTGTTTTTGTTGTTGTATTTACAAAAATATTTCTTAGTCATCTAAATATGTATCCTTTTTTAAATTTTGTTAATAACAAAAAGGAGTCATATTTTGAAGCGTTAGGAAGTTAAAATGCTTAATTGTAGAAAAAATTGATTGAGGAACCGGTTTCAAATTTTTCCGAGAATGATACCGGTCATCGTGTAGGGCAGAAACTGGACTAGAAGTAATGTCTTCTGTTAAAGAGAGCTATCTTGTAGTGGGGTATAACCCGAGGAGCACGATTAGATGCTTGTTAGAATAGAATTAGGTCAAGTCGTTTGGTATCTGTGACTCAGTCTCACATTTCGTTTAACTCTTCTTACCGGTATTTAACGATCGCATCCTTGCACAGTCACATAGTGAACTTCAATGCCTCACGAGTGAATAAACAGTTTTATCCACCTGGCCCTGGCTGAGTCTCATTCCTTCTTATAGGGTTCTATTTGGGTACTGACAAACAAGAAACTATAATTTTGAGGCTCATTGTTAAATTCTGTTCTGTTGAGGATACAGATCCAGAACCAATGGAATTAAAATGGTAGTGTGAATCACATACAATTGTGCTTACCATTGACTTATGCGATGTAACCTAAGGGACAAAATGATATCTAACTGTGTTTGCATTCTTTTAGCACACAAAATACTTTAATCCCCAGAAACAATGCACATTTAAATTTATCATTTCCTCTAGAGACTCAACATGAATAAAATTATTTGGAGCTAATTTAGCACATAATTTGTTATTTAACAGGAAAGACATTTTAATTTGCTGTATGTTTTGATACATAACTCTATGCAAGTTTCAATACCCATCTAGATCAAAATTAACCCCTTAATGTGATATGTAAATAAAATCCTGTTGTTTACACGTCTAGTTCCCACATTAAAGAATGATGCATCTTCAAAGACCTTACTTAACTTCAAACTAAGGCCAGGTACGTATTTAATCATTTTTTAATATTTAGATGAATTTTATCATTTTTGGTGTCTGTACATTTGTGAGTTATCCAACTAAGTAGGTGCTCATCTTGACCCAACTTAGATCTCGATGTCACTGTCTATCACTAATTTCGATTCAGGCCAATCTAGACAGTACATAATTTGTCACACCTCGGGTTAAAATGTAATTTTTTTATATAATTTCTCACCCACGGCTAGCCTGTGGCTATTCCTTTATAATTTTACATTTATAAGGCAGGTAATAATTTGAAGCTTTATTTACATTTCTATTATGTAGAATGTTCTCAAGGAAATCACGGATTCACAAGCGATTTGCTCTACAACTAATAGACCAACAAGCTGATTTAATCAAAAGCATGGCGTAACATTTACCACTAAAAGGATTCACTTTTATTTTTCCTCGTGCTTTTATAGACTACACACCAGCACATTACTGGTTAAATTGATGCACAGCTGAAAACAATTTCGTGTAACAAATAAAAGACTATTAGGTGAAATATCATATTTTTGTTCAAGACCTTCGGTACGTTATTTTGAACTACATCAGGTCATCCACTTAGGATTTGCCCAATCACACTTCTAAGATACCGGAAAAGACTGAAAAGACCGGAGACGGCGGAGATATTCGTTTACTAGATGGCTCAAACTAGTTGTGTTGGTCCTCCACTGTGCATAGTATTGCGTGTCCGGCTGAGGTAGCTGTTAACCAATACAGTCTGGGTGAACCAGTAAACCTGCGAATGCCTGAGTGGCCTGATAAGTGAAACGGGTAATAGGGATGTGAAGCAGCCAGTCAGTGATTAAGCCTAAGTTAAGGCTGTTTACTGAACTGGTTGTGTCAGGAACTCCTCCCTATTTCATTGATTGATGTTTTCAAATTTCTATCAACCGCATACAAGGATATGTGTCACGAAGACTGGTACAATAGAACAAGCTTTATTGACCAATTACAAGCCAGAACCACACGTCAGGCGCCGTCCATTCGAGTCCCCCAAGCTGGCCACGCCGCTCATTATATACTGCTCCTCATTCGTGTCTTTCTCTCGTTTGCTGCATATCTTCCTCACATGCCATTGGATCGCAAGGAGACAGAGGATTGGCTGAGGCCAGTGTGGACCGGTGCTAATAAACAGTTGCATACGTTGTCGCCTCTCTTGTACCTTTTCTTAAACTTTTTCAGGGCTGTCAACTAGAGGGTTTTAAGTTAGTGCTAGTCAAGCCTCTACAGATGATGCATGTACAGGCGCGTATGAGCAGGCGGTCCCACATTGCTCAAGAGCTCACTGTGTATTGGGGACCGTTAGCGACCAGGTTAAGGGACTTAAATCAAGACGATTTACTGTAGTAATTTGTCCCCGTATATCATTCATCCAGATGGCAACTATTCATAATCCAACTGGATCTAGTATTGTGTCTACATCTCAAGAATCACATTCTAAGGTTTTAAATTTTACAAACAGATGTTAATTGTAAACAATGAGACGTAACTTAATTACCTGCGTTTCAGCCCATGAACCAAGCACAATACTCGAACCTGAATGTCATAGTGGAAATCTAAGTTTTAAATTAGTGTTTTCACCGACATTTGTACAGTTCAAGACGACAATAAACATATTGAACGAAGAAAAGATAGGTGGTTTTTGTTAGGACTAGATCAGACATATTAGGGTATTTCATTTACAAACACACGTCGATAGAAGAACCTGAAAAAACCACTTCTGACTGGACAAGTGGTGGATAAAAATGTACAACGCCAAAGGTATCTGGTTTCGAAATAGATAATAAAGTTGAGAAACAGGACAAAAGAAGCATCCCGTGACACACTCCATTTGAAGACAGTTGTGAGAAAATTGGTGAGGAGTCTTTTGTTAAAGCTCCCAACTGAAAAGGTGGTACTTAACGAGCATGTCACCGGTCGACTCGATGTCGCAGCGGAAAGCACCGAAGTCATGGTCCAGCTGGTGAAAGCCCTCGTACTGCCGAAGCGGCCGCAAACCCGCGAGACCCAAACGCGAGAGCAGACGCAGGGGCAACTTGGAGGCGAGGAACAGACTTCGTACCTCGGATGTGGCGGACGTGCTACCAGACTGCTGTTGACGAGCTACATTACCCACTTCCAAAAGCGGATTTAGGTGGAACGCGAATTGACTCAATACCCTGAAATAAGATGTATTGCCAAGGAAGTATGGTTAGGAATTTGGAACATGCGTATTTTACATATTTATTGAATAAAAAATTCCATGAGGATAGTCATTTTATTGTTACAGACTTCGCGGCCGATTTAAAAAGTGGATTGACCCAATATTCCAAGATTATAACGTCAGAAAAGTTACATCTTGCAAATAAGTGTCACACCACTAAAGACTCCCTTGTATTTTATTTTATCGTTTTATATCAATGATATTCTACTGATAATTGGTTTAAAGATTTACTTTTTGATATGTCCGTAAAAGCTGCGGTGTGATCCAAACTACACGTCATTATGTCATTGTCACTGCCTGAGGAAACATGTGCAACGCCAGAGAAAAATTAAAACAAGTAAAATGGCCTGGCTAAAATGACCGTGGAAACTTACCTTAGCTCACATTTGATTTGAACCCATCCTGGACTACGGAGGAAGGACCAGGGGTGGTACCATTTTGTGACAACTTCCTCGCAGGAGCAAAGGATTTCTAGCCAGAGGTGTAGCACCAACTCACTGAAAATGAAATAGGCGTTGAATAGGTGCTGGTTTTACAACCACGTATTGCTTGGCTTAACTGCAATATTGTCAGCACCAACGGTAAACGGGACAAGTAAGCAAAATAGCAAAATGTTTTAATTTAACTTACTTGAGGCCAATGCACACCAGTGTACGAAATTTGGCAGTGTCTGAAATGCTTGGTGAGGAGTGCGACGCGTTGATGCTTTGAATGGACTGTAATTAAAGCACACAAGACAGGTGTTTGAATATCAGCCAAAAAGTGTCAAGCCATCATTTGCAGTGGACACAACGAACACGAAAGCTTTACCCGATAGAGGAGCTCCTCAGGACTGAGAACTTTTCCCACCTCGTCTAGGCGGAAAGTTTTACAAAGAATTAAACGCGAATGAATTGATGACGAATCCCGTTCAGCTTCCTTTGTAGCAACTTCCTCGATAAATTTCCACGGGCTCGGTCTTTGGTCGGTCAGTCCACGAGCCCTTTTTAGCCCGTACTCGAATATTGCGCTCAGTGATGAGCACAGCCTAATAAAACATGCAACTAGTAAAGATGCCAGTACGGTGGTCTTTCAACTGATTCGATGCTTACCCGTGCCTAACAAGATTTCCCACAGCAGAGTAGACGACATCATCGCCGGCAGGCGAGTACAGTTTGGAGCGTTCGTCGAGAAGTTGAACTAGCTTAGCAGGGAACCAACCTCGCAGACCGTTGATTTCACCCAACCAACAGTGTTCGTCGTGCATATCGATGACAGTGATGATGTCGTGGCGACGGAAACCAAGTTCGTCTCTCTCTTGACGGGCGAAGTCCTCCAACGCTTTAGCCCGCCTATTCTGTACCACTGCTGTCTAAAATGCGTAAATCACTTACTGATAAGGTCCATTTTCCGCCTATGTTGTTGTTGTGATTTTAAAAAATGATGTTGAGGAAAATTTTCAGCATTCCATAGAAGCCTACTTTCCTAGAGATATCATGCCAGGGCTAACCGTGTCAATGGCAAAATTAAATGTCTGCGGCAGGAACAGTAGATTTTAAGTGTTATTTTAGCTATTCCAACCCCCCCCTCAAATTCAGGATCACTTCACTAACTTCCAGACTTTTCCATCCCACATTTATAATCGTTATGCTTTCTTGCATTTAGTTTGGCTCATGCTGTACGTGTGTGTGCGCTCAGACTATCTATTAGCCTTGCTGAGATAGTCAAGTCTTAAACTATCAACTGCAGATGTGCAAGTGGACGGAGTGGGACCTGAAGGAAAAGTCATCCTGCGAAATAGTTTAGGTCTTTATGGCCTTTAAAAACCATGTAGAAGAGTGGTAAATATCAACAAGCTTCAATATGAATAGTAAAATTTCGTACTATAGACTTAAGTCTGAGGTGAAATTAAACTTCAGTAGAGAACATCAATAACTTCATGCGTGATCAAGAAGAAATCTGCCCATGATTATGCATACATATCCACGCTATGGTTGACGTCCGAAAAACTAGTACTACTTGAGATATTTAACATAAAGGAAAACTTAATGCTGGTTGCGTGAAGAACGAGGCGTAATGAAGAAACATGCCTGGACATATGCAGTGAGATCTCTTCCGTGACTGGCCAACGAATAGTCAGGTTGCGCGGACACCTTAGCATGGCTTGGATCGTTATTGTGGAAGTGCCGCACAATCTACACAGGGAGAAATTAAAGCATGAAGAAGTGAAGGATATTTAAAAACATCATAATGAATTCACCTAGTCTCTTTTTTTCTTCTTCGACAACGAGTTTTAGTAAAATTGGTCATATGTGCTCGGTTCAGGTAATTACTATAAACAGGTAGCAATATGTAGAGGCAAACTGGCAGGGTGAAAAAAAAGTAAAAGGGAGTTAATTTAACCTCAGTTCTAAAGATTAATGACTGCTGTTAAACATAGGTTGAGGCAGACAAAACTGACTACAAGAAATGCCAGAAGTAAAAGTTACTTTTGTACTTTAAGATTTGAACCAGGAATCAAAGGTGAAGGGGGTAGAGAAGATATTAGAGAAAGTCACCTTTCTGGGAGTGTCACCTAATAGATCAAGGCGTAAGAAAATATTTAATCGTAAAGGCATTCCTAATTAGCATATTATGGTAAGTGCAACTGGAGACCCACCGCCAAGATTGCCTGCCTGAGATTGACAAGCAGCTCCGTTTGGCGTATGTTCTTGATTTTGGGGTCAGCCTCATTAAGATCGAGAAACTGTTTGCGGTACTCATACCTGGTTCTTTCGTCAGCCACTAACATGGGAGGCGCTTTCAATGCTACTGCATCGCTCTGGCAAAAGATTGTGTCCTCCTCCTCCTCTCCATCTTCTTGTGGCATGAAGGAGTGGGCTCTGCCCCCAAAAGCGCCACAAAACAAACCCAAAGGTCCACCAAGTTTACCCTCTTCGACATCTCGTTTAGAGAGAAACTGTGGCAGTAAAAACATTACATGATATAGTATGTTTAATGAAATTTGAATTTTCCGGCTAAAAGGCAGTGGATATTCAGTAGATTTTAAGGTGCGAAGGCTTGCTTTTAAGCAACGAAGACCCTGGCAATAGTTGGGGCTAACATTTCACGGGAAAGTACATGGTTAATGAAAACAAGTAAGATGATAATAGAGAAATGTAAAGCACCCTAAGTTCCGCTAAAGATTCGTTGAAACCAAAATTTTTCTGCTTTAGGTAACACCGCAAAACAGGTAACAGTTTCGCAAAAAAACAAAACTACTCAACAAACAATGAAGCATTAAGGGATAGGTTGGAGTTAAAAGTAGTTTGGTATGGTAATGTAAAATTTATTTTTGAATATAATGGATAGGCGACTTCAGTGCATATAAGTGCATAACAATAAATTTAGTAATTTATAATATATTTACACTAATCTGGAATTGCTCATGCGCACCAAGGTTAGTTTTAACGGAGCTGGAAGTTAAAACATTATAAAACCCGCCACCCACTAACAAAAACATAGTCCTTGAAGAGCTTGTGTGAACCTTGAAGCTGCAAGTGGGGTGGTCGTTTAGAGCAAAAACGATGCCACAAAATAAAGCTGTCAAGTTCTGATCAACACGAAAGAATGACAATTTGAAAAAAACTACGTGTGAACGAAACACTCCCCTTAACAAATGGCAAACAACTTGCCTGCTTGGGGAGCAGTCTTTCGCCTTTGCTTTCTCCACTTGGATCACCAAATTCTACGATTAGTTGTGACAGATGGTGCCTCCGAAGACCGTCAATGTAGGTGGGATCGAGGTACTCCTCCTCAAAGGAGTATGCCACCTTTGCGGGGAAAAACCAAAAAGATTCAAGGGTGATTTGAGCAAACTTGACCATTTTCTGTGGAAGCCAACATTATGCTGTTGAAGCATCACACAAACTGTCTGTGCCGGAGTCCGGTAGGTTGCAATGGTACTAAGCCTATTTAAGCTTACTCAATATTTATCAGTCAGAGTGGTTATGTACAGCACTTGAATAGGAGGTTAAATCCTTATTAAAATTCTCCAAGGCGCCTAATCTGGAGAGGTCAGAAGCTGAAAATTAAATTACGCGAACCTTTGAAAGTAAAAAATAGATACTCCTGAAAGTAAGGTGATTAGTCTGATCACCCCAGGTCGTCATAATCGTCTATTATGAGATTTTATGTGTCCGCTAAAAATATGGAATAGCCAGATACAATCAACTCTTAGGAGGCAAACAAAAAGCAAAAATTTGGAAGTGCTTGAAATTCTGTCTTGACGTCATTTGAGTGTTTCTTACGAATACACAAGAAAATCGACCGTTCTGTAATGCATCGCCGATTTGGGTAGGAGTTTGATGCAGTGAATAAGTACTTCATTATTCGGGCATTATCAGCAGCTTATTCAAAGGGACAAAACCATGGTCACCATATTGTGATTATACTCGACACCTATCAACAGTTTAAAAAAAGTGCTGTGTCATTCAACAAGCACCCCAAACGGCATGGCGTGGTGCAAAGTTAGAGTGACGAGCGAGGTTTAATCACTCGACTTCTGGGGAACACTGTGCTCAGCAATGCAGTGCTGTCACACATTCATGCCCTGAGGGCGTGAGTGCTGAAGAAAATCTGGCAAATGAAGCCTGGAAAGGTCAAATGAGCACCGGAAGATTTGCATTTTGAGATCACCTGCTTAAGACACGTGAGTTCGGTATTTTAGTAGACCAAATAACTCTAGGATGTATTTCCTACAAAAGAATCAACTTAATGCCTTTGCATAACATTGCGTACCTTCAAAAGCTCTGTGATGTCCCTGATGGACCCAGGAGCATTTGAGATTTCGTTGAAGAAATTCGCAGCATTTGTGGCTGAAGTTAACTCCGGTTCCTATAGCGTAATGAATAATCCACTAAAACATTTGTTAAACTAAGATACTGATGGAGTGATAGATTGTTTATTGGTAGCAGTAATTAAAGGCTAATTACGATCCTGATAACTACACTTGAATCTGATACCAGAGAAAAAAGCAGACTTGGACAGAAACCCACACAGTGTTTCTTGTTTTGGGTTTCACAGTGAAGACCAGTGAGCTGTCTTTTGCACCAAAAATAGCAATAAATGAGCTCTAAACACTTAGTCAAGTCTCAAAGAAAAAATTGTTCCAAAAACTTGATAACGAAAAAAACTAATCGAGGCACAAGTTTTAGCAATGCAATGTGCACGAAACAAAAAGCGGATTTTATTGACCTGAGTTTCAAATCCACAAGAACGAAATTGCCACGTATCCAGGTTGTCCTTACACTTACCAGGGTAACAAATTTTGTTAATGTCATGCAAGGCAATTTTTTTAAAAAAATATGCTGGTCTACAAAATTCGCTTCGAGATGGAATTAAAAATTTCACCAGGCTATAAATCGATTCGCGAGGAAACATTAATGTATCGTTCAACTTCCCCATAATTTAGTTTAAGTACCAAGCACGATATGCATGTCCGTGTTAGGTGTTGTGCACTGCATTCAGTGCTACCAAATAGAGGTACCTACTTTACCCTCTGACCTTTCCATTATTCTCTTAGTTTCGGAGGCAGTCGAGTCTTTCTAAAGCCGTAGTCGTTGTTAATTCAATCTTGAAAAAAAAAGCTTTTAAAATCCGACCTTCGAAACGCGATATGGTGCATTTGTTTGTCAGAAAAAACCAACGGGGAGCTGATCGGGACCTAGCAATTCTCCCCCAATTAATTTGCAGATTCACCACAGCTAACCAAAGCCACTTTGAATTGCGTAGATCCAAAATACGTCATTTATGTCACTGAAAGTAGCGGAACATTGCTCGTAAAAATGCTTTTTTTCCAATCATTCCTAGTACTATTCGATTAAACTTTCGATTAAGCTTTCCAAGTTCAATATTGTTTGCAACCTTTGCTAAGCATTATGACTTAATTGTGTAAACCCGCCTAAGCAAATTAAGTACATTTTCGTGACAGACTGTAGGGATGTGCGTGCACAAGGACGAAATCTAGGATTCAGATAAAAAATGAAAATTACTTATCAAGGACAAACCTTTATCTTGAGAATGGCCAGGGCAATCCTGAAAAGCACCGTTGATCCCTCATAAAAAAGGAGATCCCAAACACGAATCATTATGCGCATCGATAGAACGCCAGAGAAGAGGGTTAAGAACCATCCCAGGGTTATTAGAGGCAAATCTGAAATAAATTAGCCAATGTGAAGAATCAAATAAACAAACCGCAGAACAATGAAAAGTGTTCGTAGTGATTCTAATCTATGCAACCGGAAAAAAGGTCAGGTAACAAAAATGGATAACCCTCACTATTTTACACTAGGCACCTGCCTCGAATTTTGATTTCTCGTTCAGAGGTTTGAGGCATTATTTCAAATTCCTCATTGGTTGACATAAAGGAAAGTTGCTTAGAGTTTTTTAAACGGACACGAAAACTCCAGAAGTTAATATAGCTAAGAGTAGGATTTCGTGTAAAGATGGAATCCAATAGCGGTATATTAAATGACTTTGAATTTTAGAGGCACTAGAATAAAATGGAGCTAGAGTATCAAAATGCAAAATCATGCTTTACACGTGGTTCGTTCTATGTTCATGGATAGAGGAGGTCTTTGTGTTTAGCTAGTGCAGCCGACCAGCAAGGTCTAGAATATTGCTCATTTGCCTTGTCTGACTTTATAAAAGTGTAGCAGAATAAGACCACTACACTTTGGCCCTTTACCTCATTCTTGTTGGAGGAAATTGAGAAATGGTAAGATGGTAAAATGATACTTCGATCCAATTTTATATGGCATGTTTTTAAACGCAAGAAGTGCGACTTGGAAGCCCAACAGTAATGCCAGCGAATTTTGAAAAATAACTTAAAGGAAGTACGATTTAGATTGCGTGTGAGGATTTGTTCTAAAATCAGCATTTGGCATTACCAACGTCATGCTGCTGTAAAATAGCGTCAACACGAGGAAGAAAGATGGAAATGAGTTGACAGAGGACGCGCTGGTCTGCCTGAACGCCCAAGAGGCTGTCGGCGGAAAAGTACGACGCCGGAAGAATGTCCTCGATGATGGCGCACATCATCCAATAGGCGGTCTCTTCCTCCATCAGCAAAAGCAAATTCGCTGCTATCTAAAATGGAACGTGTTTGCATCAATTAACTACAAAGCAACTTATGGCCTTACTTCAGACTACATATGTAAAAAGACGCAAGCAGAAACAACCCGAAATTCGGAGATACGAGTCAAATCTCTTTTTTCTAATAAATGGTATGTGATATGGCGTCAAAACTGCCAACTACTTGTTTGTCATGGAAAATGGGCACAGATTGCAACAATAAAAAAACTAATAAGAACTGGTGGTATGAGCAGGAACCACTGATGCATCCTAAACATATTACTCGAGTAACCAGTCATGATTATGAAATCGTGTTTTTCGTCGACGTGGATGTAGGTAGATCTATTTAATTCCAATTTTGTAACAAAATATTCCCCTTTTAAAATACTAAGGCTAGGATGTTCTGTGATGGACGTTAGACACTCGGTCACAGTTCTTGCTTCAGCTGTCAAGTTCATTGATAAAAGACTGAGCGTAAATATATTAAAGACGCAATATCAATTCAGAGACATATAAAGTTGGAACGCTACAGCGATGACAAGACTTAAATGGACATTTGTGAACTGGTATTACAGGAGGAAGAGGGGATCGATCATTTTAATAAGGTCACGTCATCGAAAGGTTTTTTTTCACGTGTAAGGGCATCGCTGAAACAGATTCACTGTATGCAACTTAAACATTATGTTGGTGTAGTACAGCGCATCAGTGTCATCGTGTCGGTGCAAAATCGCTCATAATTATCTTAACAATCTTAAATAAGCTGATTTCCAAAAAAAAGTAACGTGGACATTTAAGACGCCACAAAATTATTGAATTTGAAACCAATAAAACGATTGAATAAACGCTTGGGTTTAGGGGAATAAAATAGATAAGAGTGAATGGTTAGCAGCGCATTAAACTCAGTTCCAAGAGTAATTAGTTAAATTCTACGAGGTTGCAGTTATAAATAGATCGACTTGAGGTGGTTTTCTGTAATAATAAAGTGAAACATGAAACCGAAAACCATATCTAGAAACCTTCGTAGACGGAATTCAAGTAAAAGTTTACATACGAGCAGTTTCTGTGTAAAAATTACCAAATGCTTATTATCCTGAGGAACAAGCAGACGCAAAATACTTAATATTAACGGAAGCATCCATGCATCAAAGTTGAATGAACAATTATAAGGGTTTACTTATAGAATTTCCACTATAATCAGTAGGGTTGTTGGGTTAATATCAAAGCAACACTTCAAAGCAAATTTTCGTAATTTAAAAAATCTGCACTTAGACGCTAATAATAGTGCACATAGAATCTGCTCTCAAGTTTAGAAGGTGCGTACAGCATCTTCTTTTAATTATCAAATATAATGCAAAGAAACGCGTCCTGCTAGACAAAAAATTTACCGAAAACCGAGTTCACCATACTTCTACCCCATACACCAAAAAAAACATGACAAAAATGTGCCGCGAATTGCTCTAGTTATTAAATATTTTCATAATGCTATAGGCAATGTGTGTATGCGTTTGTGAAGATTCATATGAAACTAGGACTCACAATGGTTTGGTGCTCTGAAGCACACAGGAAAATAGAAGAAGTAAAATCTCAGACAAAATAGGTCTTTCAGCGAATTCACCTTTGCCAAAATGTTCCTTGTCAAACAACTGCTTTTGAACACAGAAAAATAATCACTGGACCTACATACCTGAGAAGTTCATATTGTAAGTGGAATACCTGTTTAGTAAATTCCAAAGTCAGTATTCCTACATATTAAGCTGACCATGGGCTCCACTGTAAGCAATGAAGCAAATTCTTCTTGAAAAAGGTCTTACCTTTGCTAAAACGACACAGTAGAGCCCCCTGCTTGATACGCATTTGGGATCCGAATAGTTACAAATGGGGAATTTGATATATACTCTGATGCGGTAGAACAAATGAACTGAATGACAATATATGTGGATGCTACAAGTGTACACAACTAGTAGTCTGATATCGTGAAACTGTGTCAGTTTGGATAAGGTAGAATTATTTCATGCATATATATGCAATAACTAAACAACTTTAACACAAAGGCACACCAATTTGATTGGGTTTACACAGGTGGTTCTATCTACACTTAGTGAATAGCAGAAATGTATCCATGGGCATTTTTACTACAAGGGAGTTTTTGCTTTCCACACGTATCTTTTTGTGTTTAAAAAAATGCGCAGTTTTTCTGGGTAGCACCCTTTTATATCGAAACGACCACAGAGGTAAGGTTTAGGGGACTACCGTTTTCATAAAGAAACGATTGTCTGTAAATAGTCACCTAGATAGCAAAAAGCCCAAATTGGAAGCTTCAATATAAAAGTAATCCTGGTTTGTAAGTTTGTCAAACAGAAAACTCACTTTGCTAGTCATCTTTCGATATGCTACTTGGGGATTACATGATTTTGTCTTTGCAACACGCTTTCAGCATTCGAGATCAATTACATCACTTTGAACCATTTTAGTTTGGCACCTTTAAAAAAATCTTTAAAAGTCAGAAAACATGTTTTGTATTGTTTGCACTACACTTTCAACTTATTTTTCAGGATAGGGATGTAAGGTGGAGCACATGCATCATTAGAATCGTGCCTGGCGTGCGATGGCTGCAGAGAGAAGCTCTGACCTCTCCTAAGAGGCCTCCCTCGGGGAGAACGTCATTCATTCAAAGCCGCTAGACTTAACTAGGAGCGTAATAGCCTTTTGCACTTATAGTAAAGGCATTTTTTGGATGCAGTTTAGTGCTTCATAAAATCAACGATGCAATAATTAGTAATCATCTTGGCAGCGCACTTACGCTCCTTTTTAGCTAAAAAGTCCTAAAAATACACGTTATTTTCGAGCTCACTCCCTTACCAACGGTGGTTACTTTAACAAGAGGTTTCTCAATACCCAGCGCCAAAAACGTGTCTGCTATTCCATTTGGAGTTTTGGGACGAACAAAGTACTTTAAGTAGCTTGATGCAGCAAACAATAGGTAAAAAAGCATGGAACACAAACAAGGTTACTCACAATTCCCAGCCCCTGACAGTAGCCAATATCTGTGTACAGCCATGCGATGGCTGTAAGAACCCGACGGAGACGTGGGATACCAATAGCAGATGTGGAAGAAAAACAAACGTTATTTGGCATTGTTCGCATCAAGTCCTAAAAAGAAATAAATAAGGAGAAGCAAAAGCAGCCTGCGCAGCAAACAGGATTGAGCACAGGGAAAGGAAAAAGCTGTAACTAGAATAATATCTGATTCATGGCACTTAAGCGTTTTAAGGCTAACCTTTTCAATCTGACGAGAAATCTTCGGAGATATGGAGGAGCTACACTTGACCACCTCGGCATAAGCAAGCAGCGTTTTTTTGTAGCCACTATCGTCAACACTTGCTTGTTGCCTTTCAAAGGCACTAGTTAGGCGGGGCCAAATTTGTGCGCGAAGTGAGTGTGGGACGCCATCAATCGGACTAAGCTCTGTGCTGCAGCCTGGAACACCCAGCCAAGTGGGCCGCTCAGTGGGGTGCTGGCGGTCTTCTAGGCCACGAATGAGCTCGGTGAGACGAGGGGATGTACTTAGTCTGGGGAGGAGACGGCTCCAAAGAGAGTCTTCACAACTCAAATCCTCCCCCGCTTCGGCCTTATCGGTATCTGAAACACCTAAGCGATTTGTGTAGGTAAATTCGAGACAAGCCAACCAATTACGACGATTCTCTACCGACTCTGAGAACGGCGAAGGTAGCGGCTCCTCTGGTAAAGGAATAAAAAACTAGCTTATTTTGGAACCTACAAATGTACTTTAAGGAACCTCCGTCACTTCGCTTCTGTTTGAAATTTAAATGATATGTGATAAAGAGAGGCAAGACAACCATTCAAGAGGTATTTTCAAAGAGGACAAATATCAAGATAAAAGCTGGCGAGTAGAGTTTGTGCGAACATAAAATTGAGCTCTCATCTAGCTGATTAAAGAACTGTTGCAGCGTCAGTGTTTTTGGGTAGAAATCGCTTAAGGACTTTGTCGCAAGTGGTGCTACTTACAAGAAAATAAGCATACATAAGAACATACTACTGCGGTCTATCTTAAATCCAAATTCGTCGACTATAATCGAAGATCGTTTATAGTGCTTCCTGGTGTCGCAGTTTGCATCGTTGCTCAGCTCCTCATCTGAAGAACTTTTATCACGTGCCCAAATGTCACCAATTGGTCGAATGGTCTGCGTAACTGCGGAAAACGGGACAGGAATGTTCCAGTCTTGTGGGTCGTCGGGCTCATGAATCCCTTCATCAAAGGTATCGGACGTATTCATTTTGCTGTGAGTACGAAAAAGTAAAATCGTTGTTCCGTAATCTTTAGTAATAAATCAAACCAATTATGTGACCAAACAAAGCGTGTGGGTAGGTATCTGCTGAAACCTCAGTGGTTTACTTCACCCATTACTGCTGTTCACTGCATATGTTACTACAATTAATGTCACATTAATCCCCCTCTAAATGTACATTAACAAAGGGTGGTTAGAGTTCGATTAAGTAATTTAGACTGTGAGTCTCCAGCTTTGACTCACACACCTTCTACTGCTAACTTGTATAAACCTGTCATTCCAGCACTTTTATTTTAACACACAAGAAAAGCGTGCATGGGATACTTTTTGAACAAACGGAGGTACTTACTGACAATAGCACCAATATTTTTGGGAAATAAAGAGTTGCAGAATTACAAGTAATATCTAACTAGTGTTTCAGATCGGGTCTTACACAATACACCACCTTAAATTTGAACAATTAGCTTACCAACTAATAAATCCCATTCTACTTACTTGGAAAAAACGACTTCTACTTTTCTACCTACATAGGCCTGACAACTAAGAATGACCAATGCACGTCGATGTTCATTTTCGCATTAAAAAAATCACATCAAAGGTTTCAAAGTATTTGTACTTTGTAACTGAGATAAAGATTTGATGAATTTTTTACCTGCCTCCAGTACCTCTTCAAAAATCCATCATATTAGTTCTTCCCAAAAACTAGCTTAGGTCAACTAGTATGAGACACTTTCCAATATTTGACTCTGATCATCAAAACAGAAGTGACACACATCCTATGTTAGTTTTAATACATTGGCCATCAGCCAATAAAAGTTCTGTCTGCCCTTACAAATAATAGCAATGGCCAATAAAGGTCCTAAGTGTTTCTTTAAACCAGAGACTCGTTTCAGTTTTTCATCAAACTCAGAAAACAGTTATAAAAAATTACGCGGAAAAGTTCTCTAGAACAAAGTAAACGTCCCGAAATCGCATGTAAATTGGTTCCTGTCAACTCAATCAATCTTCCTGTTTCATCCTGGACACAAAGAAACCACCACTTTAGTGAAGATGCTCAATGTAGATAAAAACGCAACTACCTCATGCTTAAATATGAAGGAGCATTAGACGGATCATCGCCCTTAAAACCACTAATCAAGTAAGCATTTTCCACTTTTCGATCAACACAGAGGCCGATACTATTGTATATTCCCCAGAAGCTGGCAATATTACTTCCTTAGGCTTGATTTTCAGTCAAAAAGCTGATTTTCCAGGTTACACCAACTGGGGCCTCAAGAAAATGTTTAACTTTGCTCTAGCTAACGTTTGACGAATACTTATTGGCAAATACTGTGAATCAGTGCTAATATTTAAGATTCGGATCTCATTGACTGAACTTCTAGAAATAGTCTCAAAGGATTAAATGTTCTCTAAACCTGTTACTTAAGTCATGGTGATGGTAAGTCCAGACATGAATCGTTTTGAAAATTTAACGCAAAAAAGAATTCGGACACGTGCTGATCCAGCATTTTTAACAAGTAAATTCTGACTTGCCAACAAGCAATTAATAGCGCGTTTTTTCCTGCTGCAACATAAGAGGCATTTTTACTAAAGTAAATGCACTCCTGATGATATGATCTCGGCATTTTGTTTTAGAACCTGCAAAAAATACACCTCTAATCATATTTTCTAGTGGCAGCATTGTGCATTATAAAACCAGTAATAAACAAATGGTTGAGCCCTGATGAAGGATTTTTGACATGAGCACATGAAAACAAAATATAGCGCATTGCTGCCAGGGTGAGTTGCTCATACATTTGCCTGTACCTCGCATCATTAGGAACGAAAAGGGCATTAATTAAACATTTAAGAGCTAACTAGACGTGTTAATTTGTTATAAGTCACTTATCCAGAAAACGTTTGAACATTCGTTGGTTCAAATAGTACATATTTTTCAATTTGGTCAAAGCATAAAAGAAGTCATGTTATTGACTCAACATTATTCTGCTTCAAAGAAATTGCTATGTAAGAGTCTTTTTAAAACACTATTTGAAAGTACAACGAACCGATTGAAGACTGTGGCAAGAAATTATTGACACAAAGTGAGGGAAAGCAAAGCCTTATAACACGCGCTGCCGCCAATGTGACCGAAGAAGTAGGTTACAACAATGATTCCTATCATTTCTTAACAAAAATCAAAATTATTTTAAAACAAGCAAATTGTGTGCGAAAAAGGACTTTAATTGCGGTTAAGTTGTGGCACTGCTAAAGTTAATAAACTGTCGCACTGCTTAATTGAAATTTATGTTAAAATTATTTTTTTATTGAGATAATTTGCCCCTTTGTATGTCTGTTATTTAAAATATATTGACACACTTAAATGATCGCAAGACACAAACCTACTTAGCTGTCTTAAAAAGAGACAACTACACTATAAGTAGATCTAGAAATATGACTAAAAATAGTTTTATAGAAAATTGTTGCATTTCCCAAATCTTAGGTGTGGCCAAATCGGCTGTTCTCAATATAAAAAAATGTGGTCCTATGAACTAAAGCATCTTACTGTGTGCATACCTGAAGTCATGTGGCCTGGTGCGCTGTACATTTTGAAGAAATTCAACCCATTTTGGTACATAAGCATCGCATACACTACTTCATCACAGCAAACCTTCTAATGAACATTTCAACACAAATATACGAAGTCATGAAGTGTTGCAAATCGTCTAAATATGTACAAGGAAATCGTCCTTGGGTAAACTAATTAGTCCATGCACAACTTACATAGTGCCAAATTCCGCTAATTTCTCTCGTTTGTTGCCTTCTGTTACTAGGAATCTCAAGCAGATAATTATTAACTAATTGAAAGAAATAGCGTTGTGGAAGCATTCGATACTTAATTGAAAAAAATATTTTGCCTAAAACTATTAGAGAAATAGGCATGATGTAATTCTTCAACATTACACAATGTTGCATTAGTACCATTTATGTTTTTTACAGGTTATTCAGGTTGAATTAATTCCGTAAAATCGTATAGTTTGTCATGAATCAGAAACGAGAGAAATTATGCATTCGACGAAGGTTTTAAGGAAAGAGCAATCTGTCAAGAAGTGCATTGAATCAATCACTTGAAGTAATTTTTACCTTCCATTTAAGTGAATTACCAGAGTTTCAGCTTCATTTTTTGGATCTTATTCGTTGCTTTCACATTTGAAACCAAATAGGGTTTCTTTGCTAAAAATTGCGGCGCATTCACTCCAAATCTTGTTTTTATTTCTCTTGTGTTCGAAAATTCTTTGTTTTACATAAAATTTCTCTCCTGAAAAGCAAGGACTGTACTTTGTTTGACCCTCCTTAAATTTCAGCGCCAGATGTAGTGTTGTGTTCGTAGGTTAGTCGAAATCATATATATGTAAAATGTGGTTGTAAAGTTTTTTAGCTGTCTTTAAGTTTTTTTCTACAGGTTTTCGACGTATTGCTATGTATAGTTATGTTTTGTTTCATGTATTCTTTAATGTGCTAGTCATCCTTAACGCTTATTTTAATTTCGCTTGAAGTATTAAATCATTTTCTGTTTGGTACTATAGTTACCCACATTTAATGAGCTGTTGTGGGCCTTAGAAAATGTTAAAATGGTGGGTTCAAAACTAGCATCGGTCGTTAGTGTTCTGGAAATTTCTGAGCATCGTACTAGTACCCTACTTCAAGTTATGAATATTTGATTTTATATATATACTATTGGCTTAAATTATGTTTACCCCCGATATATAAGTACTATTGTTTATTTTTAAAGTTGTATTATAGTTCACGTTGCATTATCCCCGTAGAGCCGAATCGTTTCAGTCGAATTCTTTGATGCATTACTTTTCCATGTTTAGCTACTTAAATTTCCTTTTGGGTATCCCGTAATTAACGTTGAAATCCTTCCGACATCGATTTTAAGAAAAAAAATGTTGGTTTTAACTGGATAGACCAACTGATTGGTCTTAATTCACAATTTCCTTTATCGATGTCCTTTCATGTTTGCATTATTTTTGTAGTTGGGTCTTGCTAAAACCTTAGGTTTAGTCCGTGTCTAAATACACAACCATGGAAATCGCGAACCCAGAGCTCTACTGTGTGTGGCAAATCTACAGTTTTAAGGCTGGGTATTTCCACCAATCTTTGTAGATACAATAACTTTTACGTCATGCTGGCCTTTTCGTCAATTTGAATGTTAATTTTAGTATATAAAGTAACTAACATGGCTTTACTTCAGTGTAGGGCAATGTTCTCAAAATAGCCTTGTGAAATATAGCAAACATATTTTAGACTAAGTTAATATGCCATTTATTTCTCTTTTAATAATTATTAAGAGCCGGGTCTAGATTAATGAGGGCCACACTAACACAGGCATGTCCACGTAAAATTCTGACCTATAATCATTAGTGTTATATCATACTTCTATGTGACCTTAATGTTACAACGTTCACATAACTGTAAAACAGGTTCAAATGTGGTCTGCATCCACGATTTTTCAAAAGGTTAGCTCTAACCAACATATTCCTGGTTAAAATACATTGTGGTTTTACTTCGGTTCCCATTTGTAAATGTATCAAAATGCCATCTACATATTACCAAATTTCAAAAAAAATTGACCTATAAGTGAGAATGCTGTCAAGAAACGCAGAAATTCTACATAGCCCTGGTATGGGTTGTTGAGTATTTGCATTTATGCTCATAGTTTCGATGGGCCTATCACCCACACGGAGCCACCATATTGTGACATCGTTATTTATTTTGCTTGAACTGCATCAACTTTTATTTACCTCGCCAAGGTCCAACCCTTCTAGAATTTTTTCTCTTCTACTTTGACGAAACAAGACGCTAAACGCTACATATAACTTTACTTTTCTAGATTTTCTATCCTCATCTTCTTTGGCAGATAAATTGATTCCAAATAGTACGCTTTTAACCTCTTCATCGTCCTTTAAGTCATCCTAGAGCTTCAGCTCTTTCAAATTGGTACAAAGTGCTTTTACATCCTGTGCGACCTATGTTGTATGAATTTGTGTGTCAAATTCGTTAAGATATTTGGGGATTTTTTAAGGGTTCAGCAGCCCACAAATCTCTTACGTCAAATTATTATAACTTCGTTCATTTTATGCTATGTAATTTTGTCTAGCTCTGTAGTTTGAACTTCAAAACACCTTTCATGTAGTTCGTTTTCGCCTAAATCGTATCGTATCGACAAGAAGTGAAATCTTAAGCATTTTAATTAAATGATGAAAACCTGTAGCCTTAACACTGACGAAACCAACTTCTGGACTTTTGACACTGCAGTTATACTAGTTAATACTCACCCTGTTTATATTCACGTATTTTTACGCCATGATAATCGCTTTATCAAACGTTATTTACTACATTACATTTGCTTCTTTGCTGCGTTAGCCTCATCGTGTGCAGGAAGCGATTTGGAAGAATTTTAATTAGTTAGGTACCCAACTAACTATCTGTATGTTGCAAGGTGCCACAATATACTGTGTTAACTTTTATGTGGCATATTTTTTAGTCTCTGGCTTTTTTCTCCCGTGACAACCTGCAGGATTCTGCCTTTATAATGCTGAGCTGCAAATTTCTGTAGGGGAAAACTGCTTTCATAAGCCTTAAGCATCTGTTGCTGTTGGTACTCGTTTCAAAGGCATGAACACCGTTCATATTTCGCAGAATATATCGATATTTATCCTTTTAATATGACATATATCATAACTCAAGTGAAGCTCTATTCTTTAGCTCGATGCATGTTTCGTATAGGATGATTAAAATTTATTAAGTGTTCCCCCTTTATGTCTGGTCCATTTGATGGGCTTTTGACCATACCTATTAGATCTCTTGTTAGGAATTAAATTGTTTTTTAAAATAGCAGTTCCATGTATGCATTCTTCGTCTCAAACTGACCACTCGTGTCTGACGAGTTCTTAATTAGTCTTCTTCTTCTTCTGTCGTCACATATCGCATTAAGAAATCAGGATATGGCTTTAAACGTCCCACTGGTGCGCGTTTGATTAAGTTCTGAGCAGTGTTCTGGTTCAATTGTGGTCTACACTAGTCAGTTCTTCCATTTGGTTTTGTGGTATGTTAAATGTGAAAGCCAAAATTATTCTAGGTTCTCACAAGTCACGCATTCAAAAGCTCACATCATAGAATCTGCGCAATATATGCTTTTCATTATTCTTAGTTTTTTTTTTCATTTCAGAGATGAAAAACGTGCCAACGAAGGTGGTGTTAAGGCACCTTCCGCCTAAACTCACGGAAGAGCACTTCAAGGAGATGTGCTCTCCCATCCCCGCCTACGATTATTTTCGCTTTTGCCTTGCGGATCCAAGTCTTGGCGATCGGGGCTACTGTCGAGCTTACATTAACTTTTGTGACCCGCAATCCGTCTTCGCTTTTCGTGAGAGATTCACTGACTACGTCTTTGTGGACAGTGAGGTTAGCGCGGGATTTTCACTTCTATTTCTTCGCTTGTTGCATTTGTCTCTTATCCTTTGGCGTAACATATCAATTTTCATCTGTTGTATTTTTCATAATTTTCCTTGTAGTTATATGTTCTCGAGTTTTCTTTTCCAGTTTACATTAGACAGGAAAAAGAGGGTGATATTAGTGTTGCTGTATTCCACTGACACTGTGTTTTACATAATATTTCGAGCGTTTTTCGACATCTGGCAGTGGGATGTGCAATACCCGTAGAACATTCACTACTTTCTAAGCCTGATAGTTGTGTTCTAGCATTACACCATGTATCCTTTGTCAATATGAGCTTGCTTTTAAAAACGTTAGTGAAGATTCTATTACTTTGCTTCCTCCTATTTCTGATATTTTTTTCCTTCCTGTTAACTTCTTTGATAAGGTGGTGTTTTCCGCCCTACGTTTTACATAACCAACGATTCGTAATGTGCTATTTTAAAAAACCGTGAGTCTATTCACACTGTTGTGTAGTGCTTTTACATAATAATGAACAATCGCACATGCCCTTACAATACATATAAGGACCCGCAGTAGTTTGTTTCTCTTGCATTAGTTATCAAGACATCGTACCGTTTTGTCTCTGCCAGGGCAACGAGGCAAATGCGATAGTTGAGTATGCCGTGTTCCAAGGCACCCCGAACACACCATCTGAAAGCAAAAAGGACAGACGCCAAGGCACCATCGCAGAGGATCCAGATTATCAAAGTTTTCTCGCTCGCACAGCCCCACCATCGACCGAGGCTGTGAACTGCACGGATAAACCGCCAGAAAAGCAGAAGGGTACGACCCCTTGGGAGGCAACTCTCGAATTAATTGAAAAACGCGAAGCTGCCACGCATCAGGTAAACTAGTGTATGGCTGGAGTTGTGTCAGCGTTCCCTCCACCTCATGTGAGGTTTCTTTTAACAGCTAGGCGAGACCCCACTGACACGCTTCTTAAATCAACGCATTGAGAAGCATAAGCGTAGCGGCAACGAGGAATTCAAGACGACAGCGAGCATGGGTAAGAGAAGCAGCAAGGCAAACCGAAATGCGAGGAAGGCTCGTCAGAGGCAAACCCCGGCCGCTGCCGCGTCGAGTTCTGAATCAACACAGGGAACGGACCTGCACCAAAAACCGGGCGAAGACAGTGCCTCCTCAACGGGTGCGTTTTCTCTCCACCTCGTCTGCCCATTATTCCTATGCGTACTGTGTTGGTCTAATGTGAGGTAGGTTTTATTCCGCACACTTTTTCCTCTTGCTCGCCTAGTACCTATTTGTTGTCGATCTCAATGTGTAACTTTTTTAAAGGTCTTCGCGACAATCCAGTGTCCTTGAATTTTTTAATCTTGAATCAAACTAAGTCTAAACCACCACTTTCCTTGTTATCAGCCGCTGAACCGATTTAATTTTGAAGTTAATTGCCCAATTCGGTTTATTGAGCTAGCTTTGCTAATGGGTCCAATTCATTTACTTAGTTACCATTGTTTTTGTTTGTTGTCCTGTTAATTTTTCGATTCCACTTACAGGCGGTCGAGTCGCCATCGAAAAGCCGCCTGCTAGCCGACGCGGGCCGAAGCACGGTCGTGGTGACCTTTCGAACAAGCCGAACCCCGATGCTTCTTCCAGTGCAGATCAGCACTCTCCACTGTCGGTTCCTGGTGGCGGCAACCACGGCGGTGGTCGACGGGGCGGAGGCAGACGAGGTGGCAGTAGGCCCCCCCATAGCGACGGCCCTCCTTCGTACTCCTCAAGGCAAGACAACGTGTTTATACGAAAATCGCAGAATGCTTTGGTTAGAAGCGATGCAGAAATATCTGCAGTAGTTTTCCTCGCCATTTGCTTGCTTAGTGGAATGGTGATCGCTCTCAGTAAATTGATTTTCAGTTTTCTTGGTAATTGATTTATATGTCGTAATGGTGGTGCTTCGAGAAGCCTTCATCATCTCGTACTTTATTAAAGAGGTGAGAGTTGAGTTGGTTTCCTCGCGTAATTCTTTGTCGTGAGATCACGAATAGCCTCTGACACATTTTTTTAAGATTTCATGCTAACAATGAATAAATCGTATGATTTCTTTCGACCCGTATATCGCAACCTCCAGCACAAAAATTACCCATCCATTCTATGCTTGATTTTCGTCAAGGGCACTACCCCGCCACCTATGTAGTATTGCATTGTGTCCAGTCAGTGATTTTGTCTGACTATTGGGGTTTTAATTAGTGTCTGTTGTTTTTCGTGGCAAGAGTTAACGAGGCTGAATATGTGTGTATTGCTGTAAGGTACGTTCGATGCGCCTTGCTGATTGGCTAAATTTGTCAGTCCGCGTGAGTGCTCTTCCACCACACTCACACCAACTGGTCACTTTACCTTAAAGTGTCAAGTCGTCCGTTTGGTGTTTTCGACTTTACACTGCTCTTGGTTCGTCGATCGCCTTATTTATCCTCTTCTACTGAGGCGTTTTACAACGACCCGATGGCTCTAGAACAAACATAAATATCCCGTGCCCTACTAATTTGTTAAAACATCAAGCCAGCTCCAGAAACTGTTCTTACTTGCTGCGTACATCGAAATATCGAAGGCCTGTTTTCCCATCGCACCGTATTCATTAGGAAGGTAATCACCTCGATGATCCTCAAGATAGCTATGTTCTGTTCAGCTAAGAATGGATTAATTGTGGCATGTGGTTTTGTGTGGTTGATTATCTCCTCGAAAACTGAATAAAGAACCAGTGTAACGTTTCTAATTGACGAATAAGTAAGTTCTGCTTCCAGTAGTGCCCTGTTTCCTATAGTTCAAATTTATAAATCCAATTAGTTTTACATGACCTTTATTAAATCTAACCACATAACTCAAATGATAGTACGCTTCTATCGTTTTTTGCCGGAATATATGGCGAGTTACTCTACTGTTAGGTTTTTGTGTAACTTTTCGAAAACAGTCCGTACCTTGTGTAAAGTTGCTATTTTCCATCGTAATTGTTTTCGACCTCGACCACAAATGTTTATGTTGAGTTTAACTTGAACCGTTAACTATAACGATGCTTTATTATTATACTAAACTGTAAATGTGGATAACTTTGTCTCCGTTTATGTTCCAAGTAGTGAAGTTGTGAACGGACATTTACAGTTCATCGTAAAATTGCCCATTTGTTATCGAAATAATGGGAACTGCGCTCATGAATATAAAACTTAATACCATTTTAACCATCTGCAAATGGAAGTAATGCCTGGGCAAACCTACCCGATCGAACCCTTCAATTATTCTCATATTCCCTTATTTCTTCACGGAGGAGTACATTGTCGGAAGTATCTTTTGATAAAGCTTGCATCAGTGTTCATACAATGTCTTACGTAGCTTCGCTGCAGCAAATTTTTGAAAATCTACCAGCAGATTGTGAAGACGCATGCGTGTTTACTGGAACAATTAGAGCTCTCGTCTAAACTTTAATTTTGCACAACCATAAGTGGCCGATAAAGTTCTTTTCGAAAAATCACTTCCTGCGTGTCTTGCCTATTCTGTCATTATGTTATCCCGAGTGGGCGTTGTCTCACGTCTGCGCCCTATTCACTCGAGCTAAAAATTCGCATGACTTATTTATGATTCCTTCAAATAAACGGGTGTAAGGAAAGTAACATGTTTGCCTTTTGCAAACAAGGGGGACTCTTGTTCGACTGTGAGTCATCGGGACGAAACGCCGCAAGACTTGTGCAGTAATCAATAGTCTCAAATAACAAGAGCTTTGTGATCTACGTTGCTGCTAGACTTCTTAGGTTTGTCACGAGAGATAACGTAGACGGAATAATTCACATAAGGTCTTTCACACAAATCCCTCCAGAGTCCGAACACTTCGTCGTTAAAAATTTCTAATCAGGATCACGATTGGGGAAATTCCGAATATTGGATCTCTATCTGTCGTGGCAGAACATTTCTATCTTGTGTAATTCCATTTTAGACACGCAGCTTCTGCGTCTAGCCAATCGTCTGCCTCAGCCAGCGGTGGTAGTGGCGCCACTGGCCCTCCCAAACCTCGCGGAGGTCATCGAGGGGGCGGTCCTCGTGGGACACCAAGGACCACCTTCTCATACTCACGCGGCAGGGGTTCCTCCACCGGCACTGGTGTGTACAAATGACTAAGCTCGTGGTGGAATAGTCATTGGCTATCGTTTTTTTAAATACACTATTTCAAATGTATTTGTCCGCTTCATTCTTTGTTCCTGGTAAAAATTACTCTGATGACAATACAGCAACTAGCGTTCATCGTGAAGCACTTGTCAATTTGCTGCAACACGACATTTTCGCTCTTTTATTCTGTGCCTCATTTGCCTGTGATATTTTAAGGTGCTTATATGCATTACGGAGGCTCTGTTTGCCCTTTATGCACACATTGGTGAGATGGCTTGGCTACCGAAATCGCAATACATTGACACAGTATCTGCGCAATTAACCGCCTTAGAAGCTGATCGAGTATACCCCCACGCACAAGGTGGAGCTGTTTGAGCTTACTCCTCCCCCGTCAATGTAGTTGTACTCTTCAACTTCTTTTTAATAGAATCTCCAAATAGGGCTTTAGCATCCCCTTTTTATTTACTGCATTTCCCTACTCTTGTGTACAACGAATTTACGAAGCTCGAACTGAGTCTCCACTCCTCAATGGCTTTGGGAGACGCAACCCAAACTTGCTGACCCTGCTGGTGTGAAACCTCAGTTTGCGAATAAGTTGTTACTATATAAGTGGCAGTTTTCATGCCGGCTTTATTCTATACTCCTACTTTTAACTCTAAAGCGCCTAACTAAGAAAATTGCATGAGGCAGCGTAAAGGCCTCATAAACTGCTAATCTAAGAATACATCAGAGTGCATTTTCTAGACAGGCTTTGGTGTGCAGGCTGGAACTAGGCTTCGGCAGCCTGCTGCCAGAATTGCCGTTTTCCAAACAGTTCCCAACTTCTGTTTCAGCTGATTTCACGGTGATAGCGTCGGTTCCAAGACTCTTTAACGTCTGGTAAAAGTTAGAATTGAGACGCCGCTGGTCTCCAAACTTCGGGTCTCACAAACATGTTCTCAGTGTCATTAAACTAAACCGGCTAAAACATCAGCTCTCTCTACCTGATACAATCTGGCTCTAAGCGGACGCATCACGATTTGTGCACGAGGACATGGTGGATTGCTGTCATCTAGCACCCTAGTTTACACAAAAAGCATCGTCAGCCGAATTGCAGTGCTTCGAGATTTCGCTTCCCACACACCGATGGTCATTGCTTTACACCTCAGACGCACGCGGGCTAATCGTACACGACCTAACTTGATGCTAATATATTGTTCCGTGAATGCTTAGGTATAACCAAAATTATACTTAGCAGTCACTTTTCCCTTCACTTGGGCAGGGGTTTTGTCTTTATTATTTCTACTTTGCCGAATAAACATAATCCAGACATGAAAATGTCTGTCACCTTAGTTTATGTGTTCCTGTGGCACATTAAACGTCACCCAGCGTCCCATTCGGCGGTTAGGTTTTAGTTTTATAATTGACAATCAGAATGTGCAGCCACACATTTGGATTCATTCTTCACCCATTTTATTTATAGTTGTTTACAAAATCCTCCATGTAAGGCAAGTTGTTTATATCTGCCTGTTCTCATCCAGATTTACCTGTTCATGAAATTGGCATTAGGCTTCTTATTCACTAATCAGTGTTGCCGTTTATGCGATTACCAGATAACTCCTGACAACCCGTGCCTATTGACTTACGCAAGCATAAAACGGCCGTACTATCAGCAACGCAAATCATAGAGGATGAAATAGCTTCTAGTGTAATGTGCGCCCATTTAACCGCAAATGCATTTTTGCTTGATGTGTGTCTTGACAACAAGTCTAAATGCTCCCATAAGCGCTAGCTACGAGGTTTGCCAATATGAATTTTTTATTATTATTTCCATTTAGACAGTCTAAAGGTAACATCCAGCTATCTCTAAGTATAATGCTAGCTTAGATGTTCAAATGAAAATCTGAGTTAATACCTGATTGTGTGCATAAGGGGAGCAGAGCGTAATTTTTCAGACCACGTCGATTCCGATGACCGCGTAATGGCATATTTTAGTGCTAAAACCCATCGCAAGTGAATCGAATTTGTTTAGTTGGTTGTTGTACACAAGAAAGGACGACTTACGGAATTCCGACTCTATAGAATAGTTTGTCTAAAGCTGCAAATGTAACATGCGACACCGAGCCAAAGTTACTAGTTTCCTTCCTTGGCGGCTTACGTAAAGGCACTTTAAAAAAGAAATCAGTGACGTCCCTTCCCCTTCGCCTAACAAGCAGGATTTCATTTTGCACGCTGCGATTCCACCACCCATTTCGAGTTTTGCTCGACCTCAAAGTCCCAATCCGATGAGCTAAATCTGTTCTTGGAATGCTAATACTGAAACAAGAACGCTCCAGGAGAAATAATTGTACTGGAGCGTCAGTGGAAGGTCACCATTTAAAGGTCGTCTGAACAGATTTATCTGAAGATGTTTAGTATCTACGACCTTAAGTGACATTTCAATGGTCCTCCTGTGCAGTTAAATTTCAGCATTAAAAAGTATTCAATAAATGCGCTCAAGCCTACAGAAACCATGACAACAGTTTTTTTTAAATTAGTAGGGGTCACTACACTTCGGATAACATTATGGTTTTGTCGTCGTTAATCAATCATGGAATTCCAATTTCCGTCAACTTCATTAGACTGTACGAAGTTAAGCTGGGTCGTGATTTGAAATAAAACGGCAAATAGCAATGCCCTCTAAAAGGTGTTAAACATGTCCATCCAACTACAAAAACTTCGTGATTGTGAGCTGCGTTGTCGCCTGAAAATCAATCTGCTTGCAACTAGCCGCGCCACTGCAACGAACGTGCACCAGCATGTATGCGGGCAACATTAAGTTACAGCGTACCATACAAACAAACTACTACCTTAGGCCCAACAACACACCCTACCGAAACTAATAAATTACTGGACAAGTGGTTTATCCATACGCTAAGTCCTGTGTGACAGTAGCTGCTCATTTAAACCCACGTCACGGCTTGCTACTCGAACTGGGTGCGTGGCCTGATGATCGGATTAGCGCAACTCGCACGATGACCTATCCGCTGTTCGATAGATTCTTAAACGCAGCAAATTAATGGTGGCAGTGGTAGAAATGGCAGGCCAAAGAAATGCTTGTCCAACCCAAACACCACGTACGTTGTCTCACAGGAAAGCTTGATTCTGCCTATATCAGCCCATCAGTATGATAAATAGCTTCACAAGTCGTTGCACTTTACGAACACTCAAGCTCCACTTAGCGTTGGCTAACGGCGAGATTGATTTGACGTCATGAGAGTCAATAAGTTAGACCAAAACAAAGCTTGTCATTCTGTGTTTACTATTTCTATTATGCCGCATCCTGATCGCCTTCAGAATTTACTACTTCGATGTTTCAATTCCACCAGGTTTGCAAACGGCGTATAGCAAGAATCTTATGCTTTTTAATACTGCTATGAAAAATCCCGACATTAGTACAGCACATTCAGTGTAGATTAACCTCATTATTGCAAATAAGTCTGTAACTGTGTGATCCCAAAAGTTTATCTTTGATGCATTTATTCCTCTGAGCAAATACCGGGCGTCATTTCATCAAATGGTTTTATGCGATTTACAGGACCCTCTAGTTCGACTTTGAATGCTTGAAAGCCAGTTGGGTTTCAGCTACGTTTTGACCACTGTCAATACCACTTCATCTTCTTTGGCGTGGCACGTTTTAAACGCGCGTATCCCTAAACCAAAGTATAGTGACACGTTAGTTTGCGGCGATTTCACCAAGCACAGACATTTTACTTCTGAAAAATTATTGTCCTTATCTAATACTACACAGTTCTTACTCTAAAATGCAACCTTTAGTTCATGTTTCAGAAGCACCACTATAAGGACATACATAGCCTAGATTTCACTTCGTTGATATCGATGAACAGCATTTACAAGACTGTTTACGTGCTATTACATCAAATCACAATGTACTTTTGCAAACAGGGTCGACGCAAGGTCAAACTAAGTTCTCTAAAAGTACCAATTTTAGCCATACGATCAAATACATCAGTAAAGTGAACACATTGACCGAGGTTCTAGTAATGCTGAAGGGCCAATTAAGTCTTTTCCCCCATATACTCGGGATTTAAATCACATTATTTATTGCTGATATCGTTGATGCTGTTGCCTTATTGATCTTTGACAGTTGGATGCATCGAGAGCCTACTCATGGAAGCATTTAAAGACATCTTACTTAAGCCTGTAGGAATTCTCGATGTGGTATTCACAGATGGCTTGTACGGTGCCAGGATATTACGGTTAAGTAAAAAGCGACTTCGCCAAACTAGGGTGATCCCATTCCATTGGTCATCACTCGTTTTGACCAAATAACTGGTCCGAAATAGTATAAACAATATTTTGTCAGGGCTGGTAAAACCAAATTGAGATTGTGGTGGTTTACACAGACGTGTGCGCAAAACTGAAGCAACTATGCGTAAATATTTGAGGCGGTAAGAATTGATGGCTACAACCGTCTACCATCAATGGGCTGAGCGAAGTGCAGACGTAACCTAGAAATCAAACACTAGATGTCAGCAATCAAAAGGAAGTGAATGGAAATAATCACATTAGGAGTTAGTTTTCGGTTGGTTGATTAAGCAGAGTTCGATTAGACGAAGTACGTGTACTTGATGTGCAATGATGAGCGCCCGCATTTGTGTGGCCAGAAAAAAAGGGACCCAGACTGTGGTTTAAAGGAGGGGATTATAATAAATCAGTTCACTCAGTTTACAGGCCAACAAGTCAATTCGTGTTCCACTTGCCACTTAAAATTGTAAATGAGATGTTTATTAGCAGCAGCAAAAAGCTGAATTCGTTGACTTTACTATACTGAGATTGTTGGGTCACCAATGTACTTAACCATTGCTTCCCATCTGTTAGGCGAAGAACTACTGCCCGGCAAGTATTCTTGAACGGAATTTGGATTTAGAAAGAATATGAGCCTATAATGTGATAATGTGCTAAATAGGTGGGAGTCGGGAAGCGTAGCTGTCCACTATTTATGATACCAGGGCCGGTTATAGCGCTCGTAGAAATTTAGAAACTAGGTTAATGTCCAATGTTTGTGATTCACCAAACAAAAGTAAAGAACGCCAGAGTTCGACCCAGCGCATTGGCGGCAGTAACTGTACGCTCTCAGATTGATATGTAAAGTAAGATTCTGAGCTCAAATGTGTGGTCCCCGGCAATTGCAGTGAGGAGGAATCTGCAAAAAGTGGTGATGATACGTCCACAAGAGGAGACATACTTTGCTTTTTTTTTAAACTCGCTTTTAAATCCCCATCCCTTCAATTACGAATCTTTAGAAATAGGATTTTTTCCACATGAGTTAATTTCGCATTTGTTGGATGACTGCCTATCACACTAAAAAGCTGCTGCGCAAAAGTATCTTACCAAGTCTCTCGAACTTATCGATTTGTGATCTTAACATTGGCTGATGTTTGGAAGTCAAGAATCGTGTAACAGAATGCAGCGTGAATCATTTCTCGCTTTTCCGACAATACCTGAAAAATTAGATGGAAAGACAAAGCAATCAATTACGTTTTGATCGTGAGGGAGGTACACTGTCGAAAACTTCGATTTCAAAAAAATAACGCATAGATAGATTGCTTGATGCAAGTTTGCTTCCAGATATGAATGAGAGAGAAGCCAGATATAAGTTATACGACCAAATGTTGTCAGCGCCATAACACCAAGACATAGATAAGCTGGCAGAAGATTGCCCATGACAAAGAAATCACAGTGGATACTAAAACTTTTAACAGATATGCCTTCTCAAGTCTTCTTTTTGCAGAGATGACAATAATAGTTTAGAACTATTAAGTAGAATGGGTGGTTTTGGGGGTTCATAGATGTCCTCCAGGTAAATACCAAACCAAACTTATAGGATTTTATGAGTCTCAAATAGTTTAATGACGGCAGGGCCTCCCGACATTTACATAGATAAGCTGGTAGCAGATTGCCCATGACCCAAGAAATCACAGTGGATACCAAAACCTTTAAGTGCCCGAAGTGACGATAGGTGTGTTGAAAATACGCATGCCATGAAACTGATTCTGACACAATTGTACTCTTTTGTAGTCGAAGTAGGTTTAGAGTGGATGTGGAGTCCAGCACTTGCAGTGGTACAAATTTATTCCAAAAGCATTTACCGCACCCACGAAAAGCCACAGACGGGAATGACATCCCAAATACACAGCTTTAGTGTTCATGAATTCGCCCAGTGCATGGAAGTGCATACACATACTTTTGAGTCCAAAAGAATCAAATTACCTCACCCAAATGCTACGAGCTCTAAATATTTAGGAATCAGAGATTTCACACCAAATAAATAGAAACGGTGCAAGGGATTGAACCAAGTTTATTGGATCACACATATTGAAAGGCGAAACTAGAGGTAGATGTGTGAAGTAAAGCTTCTACTGCATATCGGAACATGCCACTTACGCACAGAATCAACAACTATCGACCACTAAGACAGTCACGAACTTGTAACATCAGCCCCTCCAACCCTACTCGATAAAAAATCTGAAAGCTGCATCCTTGATGTGACTTAAACGTCATATTACAACGAAGAAGAATATATGCCACGTGAAAGACTAACTATTAGGCTACAAAGTATTTAACATACAACTCCATAAACATGGCAAAAATTTTAACAAGAAACTTTAAAAAGCCGTGGATAAGACACTGCTCGTAACTACGAACAAATTCGATTTGACATTTACGGAGAAACAATTGTTAGTTGTATGTACAGCATACAAATGAGGCGGAGGTTAATGCTGCGCGATCACTGGTTGCACACATTTTCCCAGCGCTGATGACGCTCTGGAATCAGGTTGATAATTCTCACGTGGACCGCTTGGTATTTCTCATTCTTAGGGGGGATAAGGATCTTCTTGAAGTGAACGCGATCACCCTTTAAGGGGACGACCTCCCCATCAATACTATATTGTAAATGTTGCAAAACTTAAATGACTTACTCAAAAACGTGAACAAAAAGAGTGTCCCCAGAATCGGTTTTGATAAAACCGTGACCTTTTTCACGGCAGAAGGATTCAATAACTCCTTCATCTTCAGCAGCTTCAGCCGCCTTAGCACATTGTGACACTGTGCGATTACGCCTGTGTATGACTGGACTGGGGATAGGAGGGATTGATGATGAATGATCTCCAGAATCAGGCATTATATTTTTGAAAAGTGAGACACGCACACCTGTGACTCGAAGCAACCAAATAAATTCCTAGACCACACGTGCTGGAGAGCCAATAGTCAGCTTGCATTAAAGTCAGTCGACAGCCAATCAGAAGGTAGGATTCTCGCAGTTTCAATATGCCCCTAGATTTAGGAAAACAACACAGTGAACTAGTGTGAACCTATTAAAGAGTTTGAATGCCAGAACGTCTACATAGATCTTTATTTAAGTTTTAGTTGCCAGGTGTTACAAAACTAAGTACACAACAAAGTAGATCAAATCGCATTTTATTTTAAGATGGAACAAAAGTAAAGTCTCCATATCAAACAGATGTTTCGTTAACACTTATCAATTTTTTTATTTGGTCATTGCTTAGAGTGGAGCATTGACTACCTTGCAAAAAATTAAAAATGTTTATTTTTAAACGAATAAATAATAATAGCGTTTTAATTTGAAACGAGAAAAACCAAACTCATGTTTAATATTCACATTTAGAAAAAACAAACGAATTTTTTTAACAGAGGACAGATTTCCGGGGTTTAGGGTAAATTGCCTCAAATTGCAATCAATGATAAAAAATAGATAATCCATCTGTATTGTTGCAACGCCAAAAACCAATAATTACCCAAAGAGGATGAAATCTGCAGAATGACAGAGAGTAAGCCGTTTTTTTCGAAAAATTAACGAAGTCATCTTGTTGCGTATGGTTTGCGCGTGTGTATGTATATTTCAGATTCGTGAGTCATTGATGTGCTAACATCGAGTCCTACGTGTGAGGATAATCCACGATAAATATTCTTGCGAATGAGGGGGGAGTTGAGGATTTGAGCGGCTGGTGACATGCTGCAAAAAGGGTAAATCGTGTGTCGGAGGATGAACCGACAGTATCAAGAAGTGTGTATAAACACGATTCACAACCGTATTTCATGCTGTATAACGTAACTGGTCATAAAAGAACGAATAACATTTTTTCCCATCAGCCGCGTAAAATTTCGGCGCAACGATGCCAACTTTCTTATTATATGCAGCACAAAACACAACAGATATTGTTAATCATAAGTAAGCTCATGTTTCAAATGCTGCCATTATGCTAGGTCTTCTCCATTGAAATTGCTTTGTGCTAAAAATATTTGGCTTTTAATTGCTGCAAACTTTGAGAATGGCATACAGATCAGGATGCACAAAAACAAACAGGCAGATTTTTTTGACTTATAAAAAAGTATAGGTTGTATCGTAGTGGATTTACTTGGCATCATCTTACAACCATCTGGTTAACAGCACTTTACAACCTAAGACGGGGAAAAAGGGGGCGACAGTAATTAAAACCGTCTACATTTGTGAAGGTGGCCAAGTGTCTGTAGATGCGCACGCGCACGCGTGCGTAAAAATGCGACTGTTAACAAGAGTCAATTACAAAAATGTCGAGTCATTGGTATAGAATACACGAATCACGCACTCGAAGTGACTGTCCGTCCAATAAAGTATACTGTAAATAAATAATACCTTTATCTGAGCCGAATGCATATTATTTTACCTAAACACGCAAAACACCAGCATCTAACATGGATAATTTTATTTCCGCACAAAAAAATTACTTAAGGGTTTAGACAACGATTATTTTAATTAAAACTTTGCTTACAAGAAGAAATGGAGTCTGGATTGTCTAATATAATGAAAGATACAACTACTACATAAATTGTAGCTTTGACTAAAGTGATATTTTAAAAAGGAATAGAGGCATGATGAATATAGTTTTCTAAATTTAAAATCATTTAAATTTTACATGCTAGCATTAGGAGAAAATTTTTTGCCATTCTATGCGCAGCAATTGATGCAGAGATTGTTGGAATTCAGGTAAAATATTGACCAAACAACAAACTCGGCATTTTTGAAGATGTGGAAAAAATTTTTGCACATGACATTTGTGTTTATTAGCAATTAATATCAAGTTCATTAATGCAAGGACAAAGAAGTTGTTGATTACTTGTTTGTCAGAAAACGTGCACGACAATCGCAACTTGTGGTTTTCTACTGTCAGTTTTAAATTAGTAAAGTGGTCCTGTGTTAGGGTGTTAGATGTTTAGGTCTAATTCCATTTTATTCTTTAAACATGTCATGCTTTGGCGTATATTGTAGTTATATGGCTGGACAAAAAAAAATTCTTAAACATTTTTTGTCGACACAATTGAAGGCATTCAGTTATATTTCATACCTTTGACTTCTGTTTGATATTTTTTTAATATAATGAGTGCGTCAGCTAAGATTCCCTGGGTGCCTACTATTTCTACTAAGGTTCAGTGATACTATTTTAGGGAATGCTTTTTATTAAAAAAAGGTGGTGTATAGCACTTATGATTTTGTTTACAGCAGAAAAACAGATTTAATGTGGACTTGTTTGAACACATCACATAAACCAACTTTTTTCACCGCCTTTTAATTTCCGTATGTTCATTTTGTTTCGAGCGGTGTGCCGCGTGTGTGTCTATCAGCGTTTGTCTAAAATGTCGACGGAAGGCTTAAGCAAGAAGTAAGTTTGATATTTTTTCTAGACTCCGTGAATGTTTCTGCTTCACACAGTTTCCTTGTTGTTTTTGCTTCGCTATGATCAAAAGGTGTTTTGGTTTTTTCTGTAAGCTTAAATACACAGACAGTGGTGCCTTATAAATCTTATTACCCACGTTCTTATGTTTGTTGCCGCTATTGGAGATGGCTTAGATGTTAGAGTGTGTGTATGTAGAATTGGTTGAATCGTTTTTGTAATTAGCCATAATCCTTCATTTGCTACTGGCTCATTAAAAAAATGTTTTCTGAGGCCCTTGCTTGTTAGTCATCGTTAAATTAAGTTAATACTTGTTAGCTTTTTGTTTGCAAAAATAGGTGCGCTCTAAATCGTTTCGATATCCTCCTTTAAAGTGGCCCGCATGCACTATTTAGATGTACTTGCAGGACATCCATATATGAATACATCGAGTACCGCTAAATCGTCAATTAATTTCGATACTTTCTACAAGTAGATATGTCTCAACATGTACGAGCGTCTGTCATTCACTTTTCGTCCCCACTCTACGCTGGGTATTTGTGCTTTCATATATGGGCCATTGTAAAGAAAAGTGGGAAAAATATAGCTGTTAATCGTTTTTTTTTCAGCGCCTTGAAAAGGCAAATGAAAGCTGCTGAAAAACAGAAGAAAAAAACCGAAGCTGTAGTAAAGCCACAGAATGAAAAATCCAATTTATCTCTGGCTAAAGAAGACCTGGATCCAACGGTATGACTGATTTTAAGTTTCTACTATCTAGGTATTTGGTTTTAATTGTTTTGCTGTAAAATGAGCTGGTAGAATGTTTTATTTAATGCGGCATTGAATTTTTAGATCGTATTTTAGGTCTTGTGTGTTTTCTTGGTCTTAAATATCATTCACATTTTCCTTTAAGCATTGTATGGGAGCGTAGGAGACAATTTCATGTTTTTGCGTTTAAAATATTTCTAAATTAATTTTTATTCTCCCCCAAATTGTTTTTATCATGTTTAAATCCTCAGGTTTTCATTTTTGCCCCTGTTATTAGCTGCAGTGTTTTATGAAACGTTTGTCGCTCATTTGGAAAAGAAATAGGTGCCATCCCTTTGCATTCCTCTCAATTTTCATCCCATCACAGTCTGTCCATTCCTTTCTTCGCACGCGTTTATTTTCGCAGGACAAAATTCCGTGTGAATAGTCGCAACAGTTTGTTTTTGAGTTGTGATATCTTTATTTGACATTGATTGTGCTTCCAGGTAGTCTAGAAAGTTACGATTGTTGTTTTAAAAGTTGTGGAAAGTGAAATATTTCGTTCATGTTCTGTGAAAACTACTTTAAACAACCCCTGTTCAGATAACTCCAATGACCAACCACCATGTCTTTTGAGTATAATTCCTGATACAAAACCTTCGTCTTGGAAACCATGTGAATGTTCTCTACTGAAGTGGTCTGCCACATCTGGACATATTTAAATGAAGTTGGGTTTAACTGTTTTGAGCTTCCATAAAATTGAGTGATAGTTTAGGGCCCTTCTGTGGCACGTATGTTTTTTGTAATTATTACCTCTTATTCCATCTTTTAGCAATACTTTGAGATACGTAAAGCTGCTATCCAAAAGATGAAAACAGGTCCGATTCAGCCCTACCCCCACAAATTCCACGTGTCTATCAGTCTCAGTGAATACATTGAGAAGTACAGTTATCTGGAACCTGGTCAGCATTTGGATGATACTGAAGTCAGTATCGCAGGTAATTTTTCTTACCGTAGGGCTTCATATGCAATAGTTTGTTTTCATCGCCTCGGGAGCGGTAAAGTGATGACATTTCTTAGACCAAAATTTTACATTTATTTCCCACCGTTGCAAATAACTGCACGGCAGCATTATTTGATCACATCAAGTGTTACTACAAATTAGCCAACCTAAACCGAATTCGAGATTGTGCTCGATTAAACCTGGGGGAAGCTGGTCCTTTTTAAAAGTAATTTTTGGTTTTGTTGGTTGTTTTTACTAAGAAATGACCTGTTGTATTTGTAAACACTGCACCGTTTTCTTGAATAGCTGTTTCGTATGCGCGCAGCTTGAAGGCGGTGTTCATGGCGCACCAATTATTCAAGTCGCCTTACAAACAATCATCTGTATTTTGACCCTTGCGATACCCTTATCAATGTTTCTAGGTCGTATCTACGCCAAGCGCGAGTCTGGCTCAAAGCTCATTTTCTATGATGTAATGGCCGACGGGAAGAAACTCCAAGTAATGTCAACCCTCAATGAATATTCCTCGGAGAAGGAATTTTATGAGATAAACGAGATTCTCCATCGTGGGGATGTTGTCGGCGTGGTTGGAAAGCCAGGAAAATCGAAGCTAGGCGAGCTCTCCATTCTCCCCAAGAAGCTAGTCCTTCTGGCTCCCTGTCTTCAACAGCTTCCACATCTGCATTTCGGCCTCAAGGACAAGGAAACCAGGTTCCGACAACGCTACCTCGATCTCATCATGAACGATGACGTTCGCAAGCGGTTCATAATGCGCGCACAGATTGTTGATTATGTCCGTCGATTTCTTAATTCACTGGGATTCGTTGAGGTGGGTGTTGTTCAAATGTGTAGCTTCGTTTTCCACCGCCAGCACCAATTCTCGTTTCGCATCAATCGTTATTACTCTTTGTCTCGAAATTACTAAGTCTAATTTGTTCTAAACAGCATGGTTTCCCTCGTCTCTCTACTTGTTTTTAAGTTCCAAAGGAACTTCTTCCATTAATTAGTTGGCAATTTTTTCACTAACAAATCAGTTGGGATCCCAACTGTAGCTCTAAATTTTCATTCAAGTAAACCCTTTCTGCTTTACCCGACAGCAACCATGTCTTTAGTCGCGAATCGAATCAGTTCCGATCCTTTGGCACCTCTAGCCGCTGCTGTCGACACTCCGTGCGCGTCAGCTCAAACACCGAAGCTCACAGCTTTACACTTCAGACACGTTCACTGATCGTGCGTTATTTAGTCGTGCTTTTGATTACCTGCAGTGCTAGAGGGTCACCATAAAGATACAATCCTTTGTCCAATGGGCCAGGAGGTAGAACCTACAGTTTCCATACTTTTGTGTAATTTGATCCCCTCTTCTTACCTGCAGGTTGAGACCCCGATGATGAGCATATTGCCCGGTGGGGCTTCTGCAAAACCCTTCATTACGCACCACAACGAATTGGACTTGGACCTCTATCTGCGCGTGGCTCCCGAACTCTTTCTGAAGATGCTCGTTGTTGGTGGGATGCACAGAGTCTACGAGTTAGGCAAACTCTTTCGCAACGAGGGCATCGATCTGACCCACAACCCAGAGTTCACCTCGTGCGAGTTCTATATGGCCTTTGCAGACTATAATGACCTCATGACGATCACCGAGGACCTGATATCCGGTGAGCACACCCTAAACTCGGCAATTTCTATAGTATTTGGGAGGACTTTGAGAGCAGAAAGTCTTATGTGCGATTTTTGCATTCCATATTCCTTGTCGAGCTACCCTTTTGAGCAAATTTCACACGCGGGTTCGAGTTTTGCGTGTATCTAAATTCCTGTGCGATGGTTGAAGGTTCTTGTCTGGCCCTTGTTTTTATCAGTTCGGGCTCACATTTGATATATGTTTAATCAGCTTTTGATATAGAGTATAATCCGAGTTTCCGCAACGTGATGAAAACGTGCCAAAACCCAAAGTTTTCGTGTCATTCCCGGTTGGATCGACGTGATATTTGGTGAATCGCAAACAAAAAACCACGTGCGACCTCTTTTTCAGGCATGGTTAAAAAGCTCTTTGGCACCTACAAGGTGGTCTATCAGCCAGAGCCTGATGTTCCCGCCCAGGAAGTCGACTTCACTCCGCCATTCAAGCGCATTGATCTCTACGACGGGCTGAAAGAATACTATCCGGGTGTGGAGTTCCCTTCTGCTGAGTCCCTCTACACGGAGGAGGCCCGACTCCAGCTGATTGCCATTGCGGACAAATTCGGTGTACAATGCGGTGAACCAAAAACTACTGCACGTCTTCTTGACAAGGTTTGTTGCATTTGTTACCTTTTTGCCATATTAATCAGTGATGTCAAGCGGAACCTCATGAAGACACATGAAGATTTAATTTGCTAAACTATTTTCAAAGAATCATTTGTCTATCCTGGTGTTATAAAAGTAGTGAGAAGATCCAATCCAGTACAATTCATTAGGTTTTCCTTCTCCTCGACTGGGCTGGATTTTGGTGGTACTACATTCTGTTGCCAATGGTCAGGTTTCCGATGTTTATCATTGGTATCAACAAGAACGTGGATTGAAAAATGTGTCAAGTCGGTTTACAAGAGGATGCTTCCTCTGTCAAATAAGTCAGATTTTTGCACCTAAAACACATTAGGTTGTTGAATTGGCCTAATGGGCGCTACCTCGGTTCGACTTTGTGTCCAGAGTAGACAAATAAAGTACCCCAGAGAAGAGTGGGAACCCGATCGGTCATTGAGCTTGGTTCACTGTGTCATGTGTCTGCTAATTCGACAAATGCCCCTATTTGATCCTTTCAAGTGTATACTCAAGATTTCCACTGCACGTGTTTCCTTGGTGTATAGCACTGTTACTGTGACACGTACTAAATTTCCTAATTTTTTCTCGTGCGCAGCTCGTGGGTGAACGGATCGAGTCTAAATGTGTGAATCCCACCTTTATTATCAACCACCCTGAGGTGATGAGTCCTTTGGCAAAGTGGCATCGCTCTCGGCCAGGTCTGACTGAACGCTTTGAGATGTTCTGTCTAACCAAGGAGCTCGTCAACGCATACACCGAACTGAATGACCCTGTGGTGCAGCGTGCACGCTTTGAGGAGCAGGCCAAGGTAAGACTGTCGGGGGTTAAAAATATACGGTTTTGCTAGGAAAACTTAACATATTGAATTTATGTGGGCTGAGCTTAACCAACCTACACAGGGGCAAACAAGTTAGTGTTACTGCTGGGGCCTGACCCGCCGTTAGCCACCCGGATAAGAATGAGAAGTCCAGAGACGATTAGAGCTCGAACGTTGCATTGTGCCGATAGGATTGTTAATGACTAATCGCGGTGACTCACGCACGTTCATAGCTTGTGCGCATAAGGGTAAAGGAGCTTGTGTCCTTGGTTCGGGAGATCAGAGGTCAAGTAGCTCAGCTGTAATCGGGGGGATGATCAAACAATGCGGTCTGTCACTTGCGAACCGTGGTAATGGCTGTTAATTAATAAGGCTCACCACAAGGCATTGTGGTATTTGGAAGGGCCTTTAAACGAAGTACACAATCTAAAATGCTGTTTTTGCTGTTTTAATTCTTATAACCAATGAGCTTTACTACTAACTTCCAAGTGCACCCAATATTTACAAGCCCCACTAGCTACTTGGACCGTTTCTATCTTGTTCGACGAATTTGAGATGGTTCAATTATCTGAATCAACTTAAATCTCTTATTGATCAGGTGGGTAGTTTAGGTGCAATTTTGATCTGATTGGAACATACTCAGTTGATACACACAACGTCGGTGTAAAATTCATCGCCCTGTTTTGTTGTTCTGCAGGACAAAGCCGCAGGCGATGACGAAGCCATGTTCGTGGACGAGAATTTCATAAATGCGCTTACCTACGGTCTACCACCAACCGCAGGCTGGGGCTTCGGCATTGATCGATTCCTTATGTTCATGTCGAACACTAACAACATTCGCGAGGTCATTCTGTTTCCCACGATGAAGCCCGAGGAGAGTGGTGCACCTGACCCTGTCAAAGTCACCGCCACAGGGACAAAGGAATAGACCGTTTATGAAGTCACGGTGAACCGCTACCGGCCACCTATCGTGATTGCCCGTCAATGTTAACGTTTTTGTCAACAAGTTTATTCCCGGTCGATGGATGATGCATGTGTCCTTTTGAATCCGTGGTTTGGGCGTATTAGGAAATGGAGACAAAAGTGTTATTTTTGCGGTTTATAGTGACATATTCTTAGAAGACTGTCATAAAATATTTGTGTGGGTTAAAATTGTTATGAAACGTGCTTTTTGCGTGTGAATTCGCTGTCGGCTAGGCCCCACCCCCTCTGGCATGGGTCCACGGCAATGCCGCTATCTCATTCACACGTTTCCAACCAAGGGGTGAAAACCGATGAACGAGGCTTTTAGTCAAGTCCTTTCCTACCAACAAGATACGTAGGTAGAATAGAATTAACATAGTCCAAAATTTTATGAGTCCTCCTCGTTATACACTAAGTATTAACCCTGGTGCCAAGCTTGACAAGGAGTTAGTTTGGCCGAAAAATAGTGCAGTCACAACGCTCAGGCCGCTAGTTACTCGTGAGCAAAATTTGTAAAATTGAAGTTCTAAACGGGCTTTTATAGTCTGTGCGCTTACTGTCTTCACACTTAAGTTACTTGTAGCGGTGACCTTAAACGACTGTTTGAACGATATCAACTCGGTTCATTTTGTCGCATTGATGACAATTTGAAGATGTAGCGAGAGCCTTGAATTCGCATCTGCAGGGATTATCAAGCACCAACAAGCGGATTACTGGCTTCATACTAACACCTATCTTCTCCCTTATTTCGTCACAGCGACTCAATGTTATCACCTGCCCCAGCATCACCTACACGCTTGCACATTCTTGAGCATGTTACTGGCACACGTCTTGCAGTGCGGTAACTGGTTTAAGTCACGTTGCGTACATGGTCTTACGCTTTTCCGTGTACCGTGACAAACGCAAGTGAATGCAATTATTTTTGTTACTAGCTCGTGGGATATACTGGTGTTCAAAGATTCTTTATCCAGATGTCAGAGCTCCACTGCTGGTCCGTCTGCTCTGCCCAAAAGACGCATTGAAGTGTGCCCGGCTGTGGGCTGGAAGTGTCCATTTGTAGGCAAAATTGTGGCCCAATCTTTGCAACTTTGAAAATGCGTTTATTGCAGATGATATTGTTTGTGCACGCATTTAGTCATTTTGCGATAATGGTGTGCGTTCCACTGAGGGTCAGTTTGCCGCTCATGCATAGATTTCTGCTCTCATTGTGTTGCATATTTCAAAATGGTGCAATCGATGTGAATTTAAATGCTTGCCTCTTTGTTAACCTTTGGCAGCCTGCGTCGCAAATAACTAAGGTCGAAAAATCCACATATTTCCACCGTAACCATTCCGCTTACTAAATCATGCAATTGGTCATTGGGCTGCTCAGGGATTCGTTTCTTACGCAGTCTTGAGTTCATAAAGCAGCGTTAAAGTGTGTGCGGTTAATAAGATTGTGGCCATCATTTATTAATCGCGTTTTGACGGTTTTGGCTGTCAGAATTCTCTCGCCCTATATCGTTAGTCGTTCTCATCCGGCTTGCATCCTGATGTGTGAAGCATCATTTCGTACCAAGACGTTTTAAATGTGGTTTGATGTGGTTTTTTCGACATAAAACTGCTAGCGGTGTTCGAAGGCGCGAAAATGCCTATTGCAATTATCAGGTTGGACTGCTACGGGTACAGGAACGTGCGTACATTGTCTGCTCGTCTATGCAGTGTAGGTGAGCTGGGATCTTGGATTGGATGCATGGATGAACGGTAGTGATACGCACCAAACACTCTGGATTTGTAACATCAATGAAATCAATATTGAAGCATTGCTTTTAACCAGACAATGTGTTAAAAAAGTTGTTTTAGTTTCATGAATTTATACTTTTGATTTCAATCATGCCCGATGAAATGTATACATCGTTCTAAAAACGTCATGATTACACGCTCATTGAACTTGTTGCAATCGGCAAAATCTGAACCAAGCGCAATAACGCAATCATCCTTAGCTAAAGTGGTTTTCAGAGTTTGATAAATTCTAGATGAATGAGACTGCTGGTGCAGGGGCAGAGCGTTTTGGGACAAACGACACCGCTTTCCAGCAAAGCTCCGATTAGTTAAGAACAACGCCTGTCGCCACCCATCGTCTAGCCACTTTTCCTAGATTACTTCCTTCATTTTCAGCAATTGGTGATATTAGACTTGTGATTTTGTTGCATGGAAGCGGCTCAAAAATACAAAACCTTCGAAATTCCACCAAATTAACAAGAATTTGGTGCGCTTCATCTTGTTTCACAGTTTTTGGACAGTGGTGAAACGTGTAGAATCTCGTCTTTCAACTCTATCGCCGCACACTCCGACTCGTCGCCACACCTTTCAAGACGCCCCCACATGTGCGGCGCCCTCTTCAATCACCTCGGGGCCTGTACCGTCCACGCTTATCGCTTGTTGTGAATTTTGTTTGCACACTCGTTAATCCAGTCGCTCCATTCTCAAATACAATACCCTTTTTCACAGCGTGCCGTCAGCCATGGGGAGCCTCAATTCACACCGCATACCACTAAGCTTAATGACATCCTTCCCTAAGTCTCGATGCTGCCACGTAATTGACTCACGCTGTCACACATCCGAGGTATAAATATTCATGCGCAAACTCCGCACACAACTTGGTTAAGCCTATTAGGGAAGCGGCTTTGTTCACGCCCTCTCCGGTCTTCGTCTTCACGAGTCAGGGAAGCGTAATCAGGCCTAGTTCAACACACTGGCCCAGGTGTGGTTTGAAACCACATACAGAGGTCCATAACCCACTCATCCAGCCACTCAGATTTTTTTGAATTTTTTACTAGTTCACACAAACCATATTGGTCAGCAAATGCGTTAGTCATGCACAACCGTGAGTACGATCGTTCTAACACATGGTTGTCTTCACCAAATCCGTTCTTCCCGGGTATCTGCATAGCATAATTCGATCAAGACCACACACTGAGGTCTTCAACAAATGGTGACCCCGATACTGAAAATCTTCGCTCTTCGAGCAGCTGACAGTCGATCTCCCGATGGGGATTAGGCGCCGTGATTTTTTTTGTGCCAGAACCCTCAAGTCTTCATACTTTCCTCCATATCTTGGCGGACAATCATTCCTCATTAACCATGCCCGTCTCTTGGTCCCAATGCTTACGTCTTGCACCACCTGACCTCATCTCTCAGCTTCCATCCGTCTCGACTTTCGACACTGATAGGCCAATTCTTTCATTTCTCACATTGGTTCTCGTTTCACAACTGAGTTGAGCCATCCAATAAAAGCCCGCGTCTCCTTCTTATCCTGTACTCTTAGTCTCACCGGGTATCTGTGTGACGAAATCGGGCCAATAAAATATGGAGGTCTTGGTGTGGTTCAAGGCCACGTACCAGAGCCCTCAACAGGCCGATGATTGTTTTCAATCATTGCTGTCGTAGACGACTCATGTTTGATCACCAGTGACAAAATTTTTCATAAAAAAAGACGATTTGTTTGCTTTTACGGTGAATTTGCTTAGTTAAATGAACTTCCTCCAGTTCATTCGGACACAAATATCTTCTAATCGATTCCATGACACTTCAATTAAATTTATGCACTTTGCAACCAATTCGCATTTTCACACATTAATATGATCTTTACCCGATTCAATGACCGTTTTCGTTTTATTATCATCAACATAAGTATGTACAAATTGAGTATAAAATATGCACATGCGATATGCAGCCAATACCATAGATTATTTTGCTTATTCGGGAATAAAAATGCCAGAAGTTCCGTGTCTGCACTTTTTAAAATGTAAATGTTAAGAGAATTCATCTTAAAGGCCTAACTTAGTGAAAGTAAAAATTTATTAGTTTATTATTAAAATGTACTCAATGCAAATTCCTAGCTTTTAAAGTCATGTTGGCGACACAAGAATTTGGGATTTAAAACGAATTTCCTGATATGAAACATAATAAACTTGGCAACAGTGGCCTTAAGGTCGTTCAACCGAAGGGTTGGCCCGCGTACTGAATTCCACCGTTTAGATCAGCTGATCAACATAGTTCCAGAAAAAAAGTTTTTGAAACCCCACCAGCATTTTAGGGACAAATTGAATTGGATTAACTATATAACGTTCCAAGCCAGAGGGCTTGTCAAAAGACTGCTTTGAGCAAAACATAGGTAACAAATGCACGTATTCCCAATTGGCAGGTACAATTTGTCGTGTCTGCACCAGTACAAATTGATGGATCTACGAAGAAGGACACGACGTCTGGCAACATGAGGAGCCGTCGACCACCTGACAAAATCACTGCTACATGTGGAACTGGTCCCGGCATTAAATCCGTGTTGCGTCCTTGGTTAGAGCCGCGTGATATTAATTTCGGGTAGTATCGTGTCTAATCTTGGAAATACTATCATCATATGACAATGCTTGCATATTGTTTCTTAATTGGCCCGGAGGCTTCTTCTCTCGTCGTTATACCTCCACTCTGGGGTGTTCCTAGAGTATTGATTGAGTAAAGAGGCGTATTTCCTTCCCTCGTCGGGTCTCGCAAACGACGCTTAAACTTGGTATCATTTTCAAAGTTCACATTAAGGCTAATTTTTCATATTTCTGCAGCCTTACAACTATTGGATTTATCAGCCCTGAATTGATCCGCATTTCTGCATTTTATTCAGGATGACAATCGAAATCCTGCCAATATAGTTCTGTGTAGCATTTTTGACCCCACTGTCTCCCTAAATCATGCGGGAAATTCTCCCATAATATAAGAATTCCAAGTAGTTCGCCAAGTTCGTGTGTACTCTTGTGGGCCCCAGCCTGTGGTCTTGAACCACGCCGGGCCACTGAATCAATCCTGGCCCGATAACGCTTCCCTGGTACCCGCGATGAAGAAAGAGATCGGAGAGGACGTGAACACAACCGTTTACTTCAGAGCTCAAGCACGTTCGTGTCGTTGTGGCGTCTGTGGGGTTTGTGCGTGTGAATTTATATCTCAGATGCGTGAGTCATAGATGCGCTGACATCGAGACCTTGGTGAGGACAATCCAAGATAAATATTCGGGGTAATGAGGGGGGATTTGAGGGTCCGTGCGGCTGACGACATGCTGCGACAAGGGGAACCCTGTGTCGGAGTATGGAGTGACCGGTTTAAGGAGTGTGTATAAACGCGATACACAACAGTACTTTAGTGTGTATCGAAAACCGACTCTTACTAACTCTACACCTTTTTGCCCCAACATATTTCTGCATTTGTTGACCTTATGCGTGAATATCTTTATTGGTTCAACGAGCAGCAACGTCTCCACCCCCATTGATCTTAATATCAGAGGCTATTGTGTATAGTCACGGGGCGACAAGCAATAATGCATTTGGTCTGATGGCGGTTTGAGCCCTACATCATGTCGGAGTTGTGGAGGCCAGAAAGCCACCTTGTGTGAGTGATGCGTGTATGATGGCCCGAGTGTACCAATGACTCACTATTTTTGTAATTAGCCTATGTTATCAGTTGCCTGTTACCCACACGTACTCATGCATACACAAAGCCACTTGGCTCGTGTGACATCAATAGACGGCCGTGTTCTCTGTCGCCCCTTTTTCTCCTCTTATCGGAATGTAACGGGCTATTGACTAGAGGGTTGTAAATTAGTGTTAACCAAGCCACTACAGGGTCACAAATTTGTTGCAGCACGAATTGAGTACCGTGTGAGAAGGAAGAAATATATATTTAAATAAAAAAATCTATCGATGAATTAGTTGCCTACCGAAGATCCCAGTAAATGTAAACTCACGGTGGCCGTGAATTGTGTAACTGGAGAACTCTATAATCGCCACATATTTGCCGACCTGAGGGAACCATCCAACGATCCTCGTTCTGTTACAATAAGGTGAAGTAAGCTGTTCTCTAACAACAATTTGCAGCCAGAACGAAGCGTTTGATCTTCATAGTTAGGCTAAGGTAAATTACCTTCCCGCTCAAAAAGAAAGGCTAGTCATTCATTCGATCACATGACAATTTGCCACCTGAACGTGCATTTATGTTATGGACTGCCAGAGATCGCGCGTGGTTAAAGCTTATTTGCAGAATTATTGGTGTTGATGACTCACCCCCACTCTATTGGTTGCTGTTATTCGCACGTTACGCGCTCTCACTCATCCCACATACACATTTGGCCGGCTTGACACTTATAAACAGTCGTGTCCGCTGTCGCTTCTCTTCCCTCTGTTCTCTAGTTGTTACTGACCTTTAATTAGTAGGGTTGTAAGGTAGTGTACAAGCAAGATACTACATATTCAGTCACCACCGAATGCGATTACCCGGCTGCATATATTCTTTAAAACGAAATGCAAATAAGTCATATATAAGCTGGCTTAAGTTTATTTTTTTGAGGGCTGATTTAGCAACGAACATGCAGATTCTGAACCTCCTCCTTCTTATGCTAAGTAGAATGCAAACGCATAGGCAGCATTAATTGTCGAGAGGAAAGATGTTAATCTAGCTTCGTTCTCATCAAAATGGGCCAACTTGTATACAAAGTACCCCAAAACAACCAAAGACCAATAAGAATCTACTCGAAATTCCCACGTAAACCTTGGTATAGATTCCTTAGAATGGTGCTTTGGAATAAATCCAAAATGACATTATTATTTTATGACACCGACCAGATCCAAGATACCAGTAGGTCCATACATTCCATTAGACCAATTTCCATATTCAGAAGCCGCCACTACATCCAAAAAGGTACACAATGTCCAAACATTTAATGGGTTTCACACAAATAACATTCAAAGCTCTAGCATGCAACAACTTGGGCCTATCAGACAATTTCCGAGCAGTCAAGTCCCCTCAACGGTCACCTGCGGTGTTAGAGCCTAAAATGGACCCTTAAAAGCAACCAGCTATCGACCGCATAACGTTTACCACACATGACATAAATACTAAATTATTAGCCTCTAGTGAAGTGTTTACTTTATATCCGTCATCTCTGCCCACTCGTTTCCTGGTGCATCACTCATTCTGAACACCCTACACTTCTACCCATGCCAGCGTAATTAATCGGTCGTGCACTTCGAATTTTTTTTTGCGTGCCATTAATCAGTTGCTCCAATTTCGTACGCTAATAAAACTTGATCGAGCTACTTAGCAAACGGCGGAGTCCCAATGGCTTTACTTTGCCTCATTCACAGGATTTAGTAAATGGGATGCATCAATGTAAATCTAAGATCCTTATAACCTAACACCTCTGACATTGGTCTTCTGGAACCTCAGCACGTTAATCCAGCCATCTCCGAGTTTGAGATACTCACAGATGTCACAGCAAAAGTAGTCCTGCTATGCTCAACCCACCACACACTGGCAACAATGCGTCAGAGAGTGACATTGTCTTCTTTTCCTCGCATGTTTACAATTTGAGTTTGTCAAACGCACGGCCGATACTGACTCAAACGTCCACACACATGTCTGACTGGAATTTGTATCATAGTGCTCGGTGTTAAACAGCATCGCGCAATTACACTGGCACAAGACTCACATAAGGTGGGTGTGGGCTCACAACACGCGCGGCTTGGCACAGAGGCGGCTTGGTATAGAGGCGAGACTCAATCTTAATGCTGCACGAATGGGCATAATTAAGAACTGCAGAAAAGAAGCGTATTTATATTTATTTTTTTTATGACCACAAAATAACGTTCAGAAATAAGTAAATTCGAGGTATGCCACTTTCACCGCAGAGAAAACCCTCCTGCAGACCACTCTGCACGCTGTAACGAAAAACGTTGCAGTAATTGAGGGAACAATAAAAACGTTAGTAATGCCAATAGTGCATGCTAGGTCGCTTAAGTGATAATTATCGGAGCAAATAACCGAGAACATAAACAAAGTAGGCGCAAAGCAATACGTTGCATCAAGCCCAACGATTAGATAAAAGCAGCGACTAAAGGAAAAAAACAAATGCAATCTTACCTGAGTTGGTTCAATAAAGGATAGCCAATCCGATGCATAAGTGGGGAGAAGACCCATATTATTGCATTTATAAACAGCTAGTGCAACCATAACGAGATTCCCAAAAACATAAACCAAACACTGAACTGGAGCTTGTTCGCCTTCAATCATCTGGATTGCTACAAAGCAAAAAGATTAGGGACGTAATCATGGAAATAGATATTTGACCACAAGCAACCTAACTCTGTAGGATATTTACCGGAATTAAGGTTTTAAACAGAAATTTGCAACAATAATAGTACGTGGCAATAGTCGAATTTTGCACGACTCATTTTAATGGCACTTAAGAAACCCGTCTGTCAACTTACAAAATGTCAATTAATGGAACTGCTTAGTCTCACGAAGTACTCAGCTAACAAGACGAACAAAATTTAACGAAACCCGATTAAATAATCATTATGTTGAGACCGTTTTGTTTATTGACAGACTACACAAACGTTGTAGACCGCAGAAAGGAATATTAAAAAACCAAGGTGCACCGTTTACGGCATTGTTTCAACTATCTTCGGTTTTATAGAAAGAGAACGATCACTAAAGAAGAAGACGGAATGTAGAGAGATTCCAGATCCCTTATAGAATTAAGATTAATCCTAGACACGACATCAGCAAGCGAAATAGATATTAATAAAGTGCTTACATGACAAGCAATCGTGTGCAAGAACAGCGTTTTAGTAAGAAATTAATGAACAGATATTTGCCACTACCACTGTTCATATTTACCACTGTTTTGCACAGGTACAACAATATCAAGATATGGAAAAGCAATATCATAGTCGAAAAAATTGGTTGAGTTGCAGCATACTTGTTTGCATAGAGAAGAGTGCTTGAAGAGGTCGCATAAACATCATTATGACCATCATAATAGGGAAAATGGAAATGGAGTTGCCAGTCATCCACATGATAAAAAGGTTCATCGGCACCTGTCGAAGAGGAGCCAGAGCAATGTCCCAGCTGCGTTTAACTTTCAGCTGGGGATCTTGATCCCGAGCAGTAGAATGAGGAAATGACCGCTCAACATAACCTGTTGGCTGTAACGTTTGATCCAAAGGAGCATTAGAGAGCAATCCAGTGCGGTTTTTCGGTGTTAGGTCAAGGGACCAGCGCTTTGACAGAAGCAATGAAAGTTCAACTGTGGTACGAACGCCATTGTGCGCAACTTTAAGACTATTCATTTCCTGGTGTTAACGCAAAAAGGAGTCAAAAAAACCTCAAGAATCAACAGGTAGACGGACGTAAATTACACACCACGCAGAAAATTGCGGACCCCGAGTGCGCTGAAAGTAACCTGTATTCACCAATTTTTAAACCAACTGCGTTGATATTGATCCATGTAAACAAATAACTAAAAATTAGAAATATGGCTTTTGTACCTGCTATACAGGACTAATGTACAAAAAATTTTTTATTATATTATTTGCTGCTGATTAGTGCCAGAGGTTATTTGGAGTGTGAACAAACCGAAGCGCGATTTGTGGCTAAACCAATTAAAGTTGCACGTGGAGAGTGGTGTGTTGTGTGCAAATTTACGTTTGCTTTTATGTTCTAGTGTCATTGGAATTTAACTATATGATTTTTACCCCATTTTTGAGTTATGGGGTCAGCTGATGAGTCTTTTGACATGACAGCCTCCAGTTTAAGTGGTAGCGGTGAATGCGGTCGGACCGGTATATTGTTGTTCTTTTTTACATCTCTTAGGCACTGATATCGAGCGACTTGCTTTGAGGATCAGTCTAGCTGATGTTGACGAGCAATTCGAAAAAGTAATACAGAAGTCCCTAGTTTTTATATTGCGGTATTTGGCAAAATATGAGGACCACAGGAAAAAGGTATGTTATGTGTCTTCAGTAATTGTTAGCTTTTGGAGCTTCTTGGGGACGTAACACGACGTTTAAAACGGCGGCCTGCAATTCAGCTTCCAGTGCATGAGCTTTTTGTGGCCTACAATGATCCTGAAAACTCAACATATCTGACCAATTTCTCCCATATGTATATTCGTTTGGGCTATCCTCGCATGCCTATCACGGAACAGATCTGTCTTCTTCCAGTGCTGTATGCATCACTAACAGCTAATAAACCCATCGTCCAGCGTGATGTGTGAGTTACTTCTTCCAAAATCTTATCGATCGTTTTTAGTCTCCTTCATTTAACTCTCCCAATCATTGGTGGCGTTCCTGCCGATACACGCAATCGATTAGAGTTGGAACTTCACGAGCTTCCTGCGCAACGACGGTTCATAAACGAATTTTACTCACTAGTCCTACTGCTCCCTTATACGTAAGTTGTTTTCATTGCCAGGTTTTCAAAACTTTGGTTTGTTAATCAACTTATTTTCTCCCTGTAGCTTCGAGCGCCATATCCGTTTTGATACGACCTCTGTAATTATCCCAGAAGGGTTCAATGCGTACGATTACAGTCGCGTTGCTCACGAACGCTTCTCTGCCATTCATTCTGCCGCAGATCTTGAAAAGGTTTGTTTAATAAATCGCAGTATTTATCCCCTTATTTCCTATCCTTAATTGTCTGTTTGATGTCATTTTAGTATAAAGTCTCCATCGTGCAATTTTACAGCCGTGGATTTTTTCCGGCAGATGAAAGTATCGTTCCTCTTCTATTCGCTGATGCAGATTCCCGTCATTCAGTTGTTTCTGCGGCCAACAAAGAGGTCAGGACCTTGAGCGTGTAAGCCCCACAAATGCTCATTTTTATTAGTAAAACAGTTTTTCATATGTTCGTTGTATTTGTAGCCTCGTTGATTGGGAAGATGAAGCTCTCTTATCTAGAATATTCGACTGGTATCTTGGCAGACGCCGTGAATTTGATCCAAAAGTACGTTCTTCGACTTGGACAAATATAAAATTATTGATGCACACATTAATTACGTTGGCCAATCTTTTAGGGTCGCTCGGATCGTCGTCAAGCTCTGAGTCCAGGTGTTCGAATAAAACTGGGTACCTTTCTTTTGCGGTCACGAATCACCCTTACTGGTCCCCTTGCTCCCGATCTTATTGAAGCTGCGGTGCTCAGTTTGAAAGCAGTGACAGCTTATAGCGATACCGTTAAACAGTCTCTATTCCCACAGCAACAGCAGTCACTGCATTCCCTCCCCTGTCCCACACACGGTGCAAATACTACGGACCAACAACAGCAACAACAACCGTCGTCAGCTGTAGTGAATCCCGCAATTGAATCCAACCCAACTCCCTCCTCTGTTACTCCTGGAACAGCCAACTACCGACCGGGGATTAATTCTCAGCGCCGACTTGCTAATCATGGACTCGACATGCTTTCTCATTTGTTGGACAAGTATATATATACATTTATTGCTAGTTTTCGGCACGTATTTTGGATCCACTACGAGCAGGTTGCCCTGCTAGTGGTTAAAACAGGAGTATTGTCTAATACGCATTTTATGCTCATCTATTAAACAATTCTATTCGTTCACCGTCTGTAGTTCTAAAATGCCGACTTCATTCCCGCAAAGTTTTTATTGGGTAAAAAGAGTTGAAAAAGGCATCTATAAAATAAAAGCCTAAGTTTTCACGAACAACTTAATGTTTAATTGAACCTGTATTTTATTCTGTTGAATCGTTGGAAGCATTAGCAAACCTGTCCTTAACGTCGGCACAATTTACTTATAGTAGCTTCTCATGTCGAATTGGTGCATTTAATCCCCTGTAATCAATATTTTTAGCGCAACATCTATCCCAACTGATGCGTCTGTTAGGGCGCTCGGAGGTCTTATCGAATTCGTCTACGAGGGCACCACCGATGAGGTCAGTTTTCTACTTACCGTTAATTTACCAACCTTTCTATAACTAAAGCATTTTCTTCTTAAGTAAACCCATATCGATTTTGGACTCCTCGCGTTTTTGTTGGCTGATTTTGTTCGTACACCCAGCTCTTGCTTCAGTCAAAGTATACTTTTATCTTTTGTTGACTACCTTTTGGATATTTGCACTGCGCGCAAGCAAATTTGATTTTATTGCGTTTCTTGTATTAGGGTGTATTTGCTTAATCGCCCAGTTTGTATTGTCGTACTGCGCTATTTGTTGAATTGTATTAATTAAGGTTACACAGGCTTCTTGCAATTTAATATTCCTTGCTACCTTGCTTACTACTAACTTCCTGTGCGACAAGTTAGAACAGTGTACTCCCCAAACAATCCACTCCCATGATGTCCCAAGTATATATTTGTATAGCAGTAACAAGACAATTTTTCCTAGTCAGGTACGTTATTTTACTGAATAACATGTAAGTTCTCTTCTACCTCGTTTTTTTTAGCTTGTTCCTGCGAGAGCTCGAGGCTTTGAATTGCTTTCCCGTTTCTTAGCTCGTGAGCCGAACTACCTCCTTAAGGATCCCACCCAACTACCACGCCTTTTCGATGTTCTCTCAGAGGCATGTCTTTTTCATTTTTTTTCATTTCTTAATAAGGTCCCATTCGACCAGATTAGTCCATATTGACTGTTTCTTTTTCCATATTGCACATCTGCATGAAAGAAAAATCCGAAATGCTGCCACTTGCTTCCATTAAATTTATTTTTTTTTACGTTTGTCTTGGTTGTTTAGACTGTCTATTCGTGGCTGATCTCACTATCATTTTAGTTCACATTGCTACCTCCTAATAAAATGCCTACATCGTTACAGTGCTTGTATGCGTTCACTTCGGTCGTGTTAGCGGTTGTTTTACAACGCCCGGCTGTTCAAACACTAATATTCGGCATCATGTTTTATTTCCAAGGCAAGCACTAGCTTATACCCACAGAGATCAGCTTTCAAAGACAACTTAAGTTGCGAAGACGATTCGATTTTTTAATAAGCGTAGTATGCAGACAATGTCAGAGACCTCGGGTGTATCAAAGTCTTGTTCTTTTCAAAATCTTTTATTACCAGGACATAGCTCCGGACTTGAAAGCGGCAGCCGCTAATTGCCTCCGTCGTCTAGCCTTCACCTTCCAAGAGGCGCAACGGCAGAACTACCCCGCTTTGCGACACCAACTGGCCAAGCTTGAACGCCTCCTCTACGAGAATATGGAGCGGGTAATTTTTAACTCTTACTTCGTACACGAATGCGTAGCGGTATTACAATGTGTCTTACAATTGGTTCCTGTCTCGTGTATTTTTTTTAAAATTCCAAACCTTGTGTAAGGCATCCGTCAATAGAAATTCTGTTCAATCCAATTTATACTACTGCTGCATTAACGTGTTACTTTTGTATGACCACTGAGCTACCGATGATAGAATGAAGTACTCGGGTAATGCACGTGCGGTCTTATTCCCAATCTCGTTTTGATTTTGCTTTTCACTCCAATTATCACATCCAATTTTTTAGCCGGACCCTATTAGTCGCCTAGTAGCCGTCCACTTCGCTGGTATCATCTACCCAGCTGACCACATTCCAACTCGTTATCTCATTCTTCAAGCTCTCGGTGATAAGTGAGTTGTTCCTTTGTACTCCGCATTCAATTAAAAGTTGGGAGTTAGCGTCTACTTGTTGTGTTGTCATATGGCGCTTCCTGTTTGCCTCTATATCGGTTTTGAGGGCATGGGTGAATAATCTTCGTAGGGTCGCGACATATTCAAATGATTGCTCCAAATTGTGTTGTACGCTTATTTTTATCAAAGTGAGGAGCCGTTTTGGCAAGTCGACTCAATTTCTAAGAGCGTTAAGAACACCTATATTTGGCTAGTAAATGCGCTTTATGCAACTGAAAAATCTGTGGGCCAATGCTTAGTATGACTTGTCAATATGAAGGACAGATTTCACCAGTTTGAGGCAAATGGGTTGGGTCGAAATGGTCCTTCGAAGAATATCTCTTGCACCTTTCTAAAAGTTCGGTTTGATAGTGTGGTGCGTCATTTCGAAACTAATCTTTACGATTCTCATTGGTTAAACTTATTAAGAAAGGCTGGGTGTTCAGCAAGCCGCCGCTTAGGGCAGCGCCGAGATTTCACTCATCTAGTCGACATTTCCGTTCTTACAGTTCTAAAAAATGTGAAAACATGCCATTTACTCTACTCATTCGCCGTTGCCCTCAACTTTTCCTTTTTCGAATCACCAATGGTTTACTCGTTCTCTTTACATGACTTAGAATTACAACCGATGTAGGTTCCCGCCCAGGCAGTTCAGGTCTTGCGATATGCCGACTCAACTGATGACATAACTGCGTGAAGTACCAATATTTTGGTTCCTTATTTTTACTTGACCTAGCTGGGTTGGTTACTCTAGCGAATATTCTCACCTTATGTATTTTTTTAACTTTTTCGCTCATTTTGAATCATAAATACGCTTGGGGATAACTTTGGAGCACAACTCATAAGGAAAAGTTTATAGTTCTGGGGTTGTCGTTGAATGATTTTTTTAAAGTTTGGACTCCTATGCGACATTAGTAAGGCACCAGCAACCTGCTGATCTGAGTTTTCTAATCCTTAAGCCGATGCTTTCGATTAGCCTGGGTTAATGCAGTTTAGTGGCTTTCTCGGGATGTTTTCCTGTTGCAAATTTTTCACTTTCGGTATTAATCCGACTTGCCACCATTGTGTACTTTTGTTTCCTAGCTATTTTGATTCCATCTAATAATTCGGTCTCATCATTATGTCAGGTTATTGACGCACGTCAGTGATTAGACTGATAGGCTCTATACGAAACCATTTAGTTCCGTTGACATTCCTTGTGCATTCCAGAGACCAGCGCGTTCGAAATGAAGCCCGAGTGGTTTTTTCCATTTTCCTCGATCCTAACATCGCCAACGACATTGTGTATGGACGCGTCAAACTGCCCTCATTTGTTGAATTCGTTAACCACGTATGTGTGCATGTGTATCTGTGCCTTTACTGTATAGCCTGAGTTTTCTTATCCTTAGTACTCGTTACTGGGTTATAGGACACACAACATTCTCGGAAGAATCCGTTCATCGATGTGGAGCGCCTGATTCCTGTAAGACTTCCTTAAAATTGTAGTAATCTGTTGTCTATCAATGTACCTGGTAATCTGCTAGGCTTTATGAGCTTCAAAAATTATTCGCTTAAATGGCGGTCGCTTCACGCCTCTGGCCTGAGCTTGTTGCACAATGTTTAATGTCGCAGTTTTGTTGCCTAGGGCCTTTTTATCCGAGGTGCTGTCGATGACTTGTTGCGCAACATTGCCATTACCCCCTGTAAAGAGCCACTGATGACCTTGAACTGGCGCCTTTTGTACCTCTGTTCTTTGTGTAGTGACGTTTACTTTCCCCAGTAGTTAGTCGTACTTGCTTCACATAGTCCTCTGTTTCGTGTTCATGTAATCCCAATGGTTTCTGTGATATCGAAAATGGTAATGGCGGTCACTTGGTAATCTGTGGTTTTATTTCATCGATCTAGCCCACTGTCGACTGAGTTCATCGTTGGCGATTTTTCTGTGATAGATTAAATACTACTACAAATTCAGTCCTTTAAAACTACTATTAATCTATGTGGCATACTCTGAAACTGTAGACCGGTTTAGCTTTTGGGTTTGTTAAATTTATTTGTGCTGTGTAAACTCACTTCGTTTAGTGTCGTAATCTTAGTCGAGGGAGTTAATCCACCCATAACTTTTCAGTGTGTTCTCCTTTTTAGACTCTCTTTTCATCATGCTTCGTATAATTACCATGTCAAAAGCTTCTGCTATGCTGGCATGAAGAAAAATTGTGAACCATTTAAAATAGATGAAATCGGACCTCTAATTTTTTCAGTTTTGTTGCGTGAATTTAGGTTGTTCAATTTATTCGCCTCTGTTTGCTGGCAGTCAAGGGAGGCCTGACCTCGGCTCAGGAAAAGGAGATGCTCTACGAGACTGATGATGAGATTCGCTATCGCATAAACCAGAATGTCCGCTACTTTCTCTCTGCTGCAGCCTCGAGCAAGTCAGACACTTCATCTGTCGCCGGCAGTGATGATTCCAGTGGCAGCGTTTCCGCCTCTCACTCTGGCTTTACGACGATCCCGAATCCAGACCAAGCGCGGCGCAGCATTGCGACGTATTTTCGCCTCATCCACGTGGTAATCTTCGCGCGTTGTCAGACTTCTCGCGATTGTAAGAAATGTTTTCTAACGGCTTCCTATTTTTTTTGTCTAACTCCGATGTATTGGTGAAAACCATATTTGGTCCTGCCTTTAGACGTATGCCTATTTGGCAACTTACGTAGCCTGCTAGAATTGATTCTATGACAGTATACTCGGTTCGTCATTGTTAGACTCTCTGATTCAATATTCTAGCTTTGACATTGTTGCAATTGTCTTTATCCGCTTTGTAGTGCTTCGTAAACTTTTACTGGCTGGTGTACTTAACTATCAATCGCCCTGGCTCTTCAACAAATTTAACATCCAGTAGTGTTTTTGCGAATGTTTTTGGGGCAAATCGGTTATCGCAGAAAATATGGCCTTCCAGTTCTGCCCCCCCGTTTCACTTAATGTCTTTTTTTATATTTTAGCTCCAGAATTCCCCAATTTCTTGGAGGAGGTTTTGATGAATAATACTCAAGACCTAATTGCAGGTGGGAAAACAATCTTCGAACAGATGAATGTGAGTTGTAGATGCAACTTTTTAAACCACTGAACATGCCCCTTGTAACCATTAAGTGCTTCTTGTCTGCAAACTTACAGAGCATGTTGCTGGGATCTGCCCGTGGGGCTAATTGTCGTCACGCGTGTGCTTCAATCTACTCAGTGGTCACCATGGAGACAGAGAAGCCTTCGGATGCGTTACAGGTAGCTGTGGGAATGCTCGAGAAGATTCCGAAGGACGGGCCCGTACTCGGATCAGAGGATTCCCACGTTGTCCAGGGCATGATGATGGGTGCTGCCTACCTGCTCAAACACCTCCACGACAAGCACTTTTCGCAGCCGACAAATAGCTGCTCCTCCACACTGGGCGCTGAGTCAGGCGGTGGCGGAAAGTCGAAGAAATCGAGAAAGCTAGAGAACAAAAACAAATCGCAACTTCAGACCGGCATAACCACAGCCATTGAACAATTTCTAACTATTCTCGGTATGATTATAGCCGTTTATTATCGCGCGTCTTTAACAATTGCCTATCGAGTTTACCAGTGTGAACTCTAGTTAGCATTTCAGTTACCGTTGGCATTGACAAGCAACCTAGTAGATTGCGCCGAAGGTCATTTGTGTCTAGTCCCTAAGTTAAATTTAGGTGAATATGGGCCTCTCAATAATTAGACAACAATGTAAAAGTCATAGTTTAACAACCATTGACAACTTAAATGCTACATAACTCGAGTTAGTGTTACGGGTTCGGCACACAACACGTATCGACATTGAAATATCGTTAGTCTAGAAGTCACCCTTTTCTGCTCCTTTATTTTTTTAGACGTCTTTCTTGTTCGGCCTGTTTACCTTCTCGATAAGCCAGTCGGACGGGGTAAAGAGAAGCAAAATCAACAGGAAAAGGACTCGAAGCATGGCCTCCGCTATATAAACGCTTCCGTCGCTCAATCCACAGTAACCGCACTCCTTGAGGCCCTGGCGGTACTTGGACAGGCCGGTTGTTTAGCTTACCTGCCTTCAGGTTCCTCGGTACCCACCATCGACTCGACTAATACCTCCCCTCTTCCTCCCTGCGGCGCGAGTAAAGCCAATCTCGTCGCCCGCGTTGCCCTCTACCTCACTCTTGCTCCATCCAATGGGACGAATTCGGCAGCAACCGTGGCTGGCGAGCAGCAACTGCCGGTCATGGCTGGCCATCAACGTGTGTGGTTCGCCGCGTTAAGGACCCTAGCTGGTCTCTGTACAGGAGAGCCCCCAGTTATAAATTCACCGAAAGCAGGGAAGAAGGGAGGTGAAGAACACGCATGTGGTATATCTGTACACCCCCATCTGATGTACATAATCAAAGCTATGTCGAGTATGGAAGAGGTAAATCATTGCTGTTGTATAAAAATGAAAGAGAATTTACATTTTCGTGAGGGGCATGCGAATGTGGCAATGTCACCGCGTGGCTTAACATTTGGGCCTCGGTATGAGATCAGTCAAAGTGACTTGCAAACCGTGATGAGTGGCAAAGTACCCCGATGAACGTTATCAAAGCTTTCTTGGATCTTAGTGCTTTGATGTCAATGCATGACTTTAGTAATTCCTTTGATCCGGCATTTAGAAGGGCCATTTTTTGTCGGAACTCCGTAGATACAAGCACAATGTTGTTGACTGTCAGGTGCATTGCCATCCTAAATTTATCCTCATTCGTTTTACTCCAAACGGTTCTTCACGCACATCTAACACCACCGTGTGTGTCTCAACAAATGTATATTGTATTGTTTGTTTACCTCGACTGCTCACGCGTTCAGTTCCTTGGTCATCGCTGCGAATTGTCCTCATTAGGTACGGGATCCGGCTCTTCAGTTAGCAATCGGCGCTGCCATGGCCGATGCCCTGTTAGGCGCCGCCTCTCCATACAAGGGTCTCTGGTACGAACGCACCTATCCTCTCCGTGTACCTCCAGGCGCCTGTGAGGAGGCCTCGAAGTCCCCTGCTGGACGCTGGCTTGCCGAGCGTTTCGTCAGTCTGCTCACACACAAGCCCGGCCAAATAAAGCCGCCACCCTCGATGCTTGCCGTTGCTCTTTGGGCACTTGCTATGGCCAGGCGATTCGGACCTCCGCCTACTACTCTTCTGCCTCCGGAGCTGTTTATAAATTTGCTTACTGAAAATGATGGTATTAATGTTTGACCTCAATACTTAAAATGCACTAAACGAAGCTATGTAAATGCATGACTTTAAAGCCCTGTTTTATAATTTCCAATTATTTGTGGAGTTTGCGAATGCACAGTAGAATCGGTGCCAGGTCTGAGTACCACAGGTAGATTTTCACACTGACAATAACTCTACGGCACCTTCTTAGGACTAAGTTGGATATTTGTAAATTCTAAGCTATTGAATTTCATCAAAATCTGAATTACTGTGTTTGAAGGCTAAAGTGCTTAGGCTTGACATAATTGGGCTACTTTACGCCAAGTCAACTGTAAGTCCTCACTTTTAGATTCCCTGCAGTGTGTTGCAGCAAGTGTTCTCGGACTGATTTATGATCGAAGTGGTGAGGAGGCTCGTGCAGACCTGGTAAAGAACCTGACCAAAGTAATCACGGACATCAAACGGTACGTTAATTGCTCTCCTATAGTTAATGTCATGCACCAACTTTCCTTTTTGTGTTAGAGCCACTATATTTAAGTGAACACACATTGTGTAACTTTCAAGAAAAACTGGCCTCGCAGACACTTCCGGGCAGTATAATAAATTTTTTCAAGATGGCATTTGCGAACTTGTTCTAAATCATCGTCCATTTTTCTTTTCAGCCCCAATACTTCCGTCTTCCGAGAACTCTGTTCCTTGGTTCAGCAAATTGGTCGTGCCGACCTAGCCCTTCCCCTAGTCGTTTTGGCGACCACTCCACTGCCACCAACTGTGAATGCCTCCTTCCTCTTCCAGTCTGTCAATGCTCTCGACCACACCTCTCAGTCTTCATCATCGTCTTCTCCAGCCACCCCTTCGACCCCCTGGTTGGCCCTCTGTGCGGTTGCTTGTGCGGGCCTTGTTCGACGTCTTGGTCGCTCATTAGCTCCCGCAATACCCCGACTCGTACCGCGAGTCTTTATTCGACGTTACGATATGGCACGACCTCGTCTAAGAAACGCTGTTCAAAAGGTCTGGCTAGGTCTCATCCTCTATGCCACTCCAAATTCTTGTTCGAATAATGTGGCGGCAGGAGCTAGCGCTGCTGCTTCCACGGCCACTATCCCATCAACTGAGGAGAGCGCTAATGGAGTTCCACCCATGAATTTGTCAATCAACGCCATGGCTTCAGACTTGGTAGGTTTTTAATCTAATAATGCCGCTTTGTGAAGGCAAGGCTTGTTTCTTAGCCGATTGTGGGCGTGAGATTCGAGTCGTTAGTTTTAGCGATGGATAACGCTTTTCATCATGCCTTAGGTACTAACGTGTTCTTCGCCACTCTCATTTGTTGATGTTTTGAATGGATGCTAATACCAAATTTTGCTTGTTTGTTACTCGAAATCATTCTGACAACTCTTAAACTGAGTAAAGCTGTCTCACAGGACTGATTTTACGCCCCACGGAGTGGATTTTTTGCTAAGCAAGTCAAAACAACTGACAGTTCTTTCTGAGAGGTCTTTCACATCGTTGTCTTGTCTGCATGATTTGCTGCCCCGCTTCATGCACAACCTTCAGTTTTAACAGAAAACCAACTGGAACCGGTTAATTCGCCAAGATCTCATCTCTCATAGGTTGAGGCTCATTTCAACGCTATCATTTGTGAGATCAAGACCCAACTAGGCTTCAACGCACCCTCGGCCTCTACTTCCCCAACCACTTCCCCCCAATCATCGTCATCGTTGAGTTCGACGACCCAACCTCCTCATTCAGGCACCACGGATCAAAATCTCCGGGACGCCTGCTGCCTAGCCGTTGTCGCTCTGACCGAACACCCGTCTGCTTACAAGCAGTTCTCTGGTCACCTTCCTTCCCTTCTCTCAGGTTTAATGGCTCTTGTCGATGAAGAACAAGCCTCGAATAGCGCTGAAGCCTCGCAATCTGCCTCTCCCGCAGAAAAGGCCGCAACGGCTGTTCAAAAGGTCGGATTATTATTGTGTATTGCATTTTCTGTGTTTATGTGAGGTTCGAAGGTTTTAGTTGGGCTTAAACTTTTGGTTTTTATACGTACTTTTCGGCTTGTAACTGACCAATCTGCGTTGATTTTTGTTCCACTGTATGTACGCAACATTTGTCCGTATTAAGGTTGTTATCACGTCTACCGACCTGTTACAAGACAGACGTATTTAGCCTAGCTTTGCCAACGAATTTCAATTTAGAATGTTGTGTAGATTGTCGAAATTGGTGTCCCAACTGGTCATATAACTCATGATTTGATATCTCTTTTTCTTCTAATAGTTCGCTACTCGTTGTTTATTCCACCCCGCCAATGTTGTTTTACTTACAGTTAGTGATTAGAGCCTTGGACGACCCATCCTGTCGTGAAGTTGCCACAGGTCTTCTGCCTCGCCTTCTTCCTATCCTGATCAACCGCGCCTTGTCAACTGCTACCGCTTTCTCTGCGGGTGGGACAACTTCCCCGGCTGAGTCACGTTCCTTGGCATTGGACCTCCTCCTCGCGGCAGCCCGGATTGCCCACCCATCTTCGCTGAGACCTGCTCTCCCTCAGTTGACCATCGCTGGTCTCCAGACAATGGCCTCACTCAGTCCTGCCCGTGTTGTTAATGTTATGCGGCCCTCCACTCTGGCCTCCGCACCTGCTCATAAGTCATCGTGGACTTCCAGTTCAAAAACTACGTCCAAGGAGGTACAAATGGCTGAGGTTCTACGACTTGTGAGTCATTTTATGCTCCGGCTATCTAGATATGGTATTATTCACATTCAATCAGGGCGAAGTTGCCTAGGCTCGTAGGCAATTAGCATAGTACTTTTTATTTACATCTTACTCCGCTTTTATTGGTCGCCTGTGTACCACTGTTGACCCTGGAAGCATAACCCTTTTTGGATCCTCTAGTCTTAGTGTCTGTTTGCCCACAAATTTTCCTGGAATTGAAGTATTTTGCATCTGAGTAATCACACCCAGAGGTTCTTTTACCAAATTTTATGCCTAAAATATGAGGTGTTTTAGTTTTGCCCATATATCTCAGTCAACTTCCTAAGACAATACTGTCTCAGAGCAAATAACACCTGCTAATGCTTCACGTCTACTGTGACCGCGCAGTGTTAGTTCTCCGATCATCAATTGGTCGGAAAAATATGGGTTTTCATAGTGTCCTGAAAGCCTTAGTGGCTAATCTAATAATCAACTATTCCCATTGCTAACACTAGTTTTGAATTTCGGTGTCTCGACAAGTTGAAATGTACCGTCTGTGTAGTCATGGCGGCTGTTGATAAGGCCTATTCGATCTTGAAATCCATTATCTAAGGCAGTTTCTTTTGTGATTAGTTAAACCCATCCAATTTAAGAATTATCGTTGACTGAACCATCCCTTAAGCCTCTCTTCAGTTTACTTTCAAGTTTTGTGAATCGAGTGCATAATGTCGAGTCCGTGTCGCTGTCGTCTCTCCTAGTGAGCTTGTTTTGAAAAAACGCATTATTTGCTGAACTGATTTTGCTCAAGCTTTTTAACAGTCCCATCATTCTCAACATTTTTAGTGCATCCGCCTCATTGATGAGAATTCTCTTTCACGTTTAATCCTACCTTTGATGGAGTTGATTCGTGCCGGTGGTGGGACGGGGGCTTCTGCTGGTGGGGGAGGAAGCAGTGCCAGCGGTGGTTCTCGAGGCACCAGTGCGAACTCGGTGGCCGCGGTGGCAACCGCCACCTGCATTTTCCTTTCGCATCTCGCCCTTTCCTCATCTACTCTTATCAGTCAACCTTCTCCTCAATGTGAGTTCAAGCCTATTGAATAAACCAGGAAAACTCACTTAATTTGGAGTTTTTGCGTTTCGCTCAGTTTTATCCACCATTTTTCATGATATTTGAACAGCATGTTGCGTGCTTAGATTTATGGTCCATCTGGACACCCCAAAAATCGAGTGAATTGGCGTTGCGCGTTACAAAGCTCTGCAATTCACTATTGTGGGATTTATTTAGCAAACTTTCACATCGAAATTATTGTTACACGGATAACTTCCGCTTTTAACTTGGGATCCCTCCTTCTCTGTTTCCTATCTTAAGTACACCCCAGTGATGACGGAGCAGACCCTTCGAGGTCTTTTTCTCAGCAAACCACCACACGAAGCTCAGGTCGTGTCATTTCCCTCCTTGCACAGCACACCGGCAAGCTGCTTGCTGCTCTGTTGGGGGCCCTGCCTGGAGCCGGACGACAATTGGACAGTCTGGGAAGGAAGACAGTGCAAGAAGAGATGGCCCAGGCCGTTGCTCTTTTGTTGCGCTTTGCAAAGGTGAAGTCTTTATTCGTCGATTTGTTTTTTTTGTGCTAGTTAATGTGTGTTTATAGTCACTGCGAAGTGCTCGAAGAGATATTCGTTGCTATAGTAAATGCCGTAATAAAATGACAAAAATGTCTTAACTGAATGGACATTAGTCACTCACTGTCATTTGACGCTCACCTTCTCACATGCTTGATCTAATCGACCATTCGTTGACGAAATCTCCTTTACCTTGCATTATAACCTTTCAGGACACGAGTGTGGCGAAGGTTTTCAGCCGAGTCCGCTCGTGGTTCATGGAGACCGGTGGCAATGGCCAGTGTCTGGACAGCGCCTCGAGCAGCTGCAGCCAATGGGCATGTGTTCGTGTTATGCACGCCATTGCCCGCTGTTGTCCCGACCTCCTCTTTGCGCATCCCGGTCTCACCCTGCCTCTCGTATTCATCAACACCCAGGCCAGTTTCTTGTGCTATTTATGCTCTTTTGGCTTTTTTCGTGTGCAAGATTTAAGGCACGCCTCCAGCTTCTGTCATGCGAGTTATTCAGATATAAGAATTCTCGCTTACAACCCTAATGTTTTATGCTGCTCCAGCCCTCGAAGTCTCAGTACAGGTCGGGAGAATGGTATGAGCTGGTTTTTCGCATGTGTACAATTGTGAATCGTTTTTCGAATCTATTGTATGGTCTGAAACGGAAGTCTCAGACACCCTATGAAGCATGTGCCCCAATCCTCCAGATATTAAAAGCAAAGATGCTTTAACTATTGCAAAAGTTTATCAGCATGTTTAAGGAACAGCGAAAATTAAAATATCAATTCTTCCAATTGTTGCATCGTGCTCGATAATTGCTGCTGATCGAGCGCTCAGTGCAGGATATTTCTGACGAGGCTTAAAAAAACTTAAGCATAGCTGGGAGGTCTTAATTACCTTAAAAGTCAATCTCAGTACTTTCCATTGGCATTCATCGTATATTCCGAATTACGGATACACCCCGATTTTCAACGATGCACTAGATCAATGTTAAAAGGGCTGTAAGGCTTTCGTATTTGGCGTGAGGCCTTGAGAGCATTAAATAACATGACACTGTTCTTGGGAGGTAAATTGATTTCTGAGTGTTGATGGACGGATGTGGTGACATTACAGAGGTTATCGCGAACTACGAGTAAGTTCTCTGTACTCCGTCAATGGCCCCATCATTTGCGTTTAGTAATCAACAAACAGTGTTGCAATTTAGTAACTCTGGTATGCATAATCTCCGTGACTCTTTCAGCAGTATAATGCAACTATTCAGATGACGTAATGTGCCTTTAGAGCTCCATTGTTCGGGCACCAAAGGTCCCCTCTTGCTATGGAACTAACTCGCAATCGGGTAAATATGGGAACTTGTGCCGGAGATGTTCCATGTGCTCATTGTAGTTCATGCTACCCCCGCGCACATTCTAATTTTACCGCTGGCATCTGGTGGACAGAAGGCTCGAAAGCCTGTGTTGTGTTTCGCAGACAAAAATAATCGTATTTTAAAGGCTTCCACCTTCGGTGAGCGACAAAAATGGTCAAGCTTGGCTTGGGTACAACTGTTATTGACTGTCTACTAACCGCTTGGTTGTTCTACTGTTAGTAGTCGTAATAAACATGTGGCATTTGTGTGGTAATAATTTTCGCCTATTTTTTCTAGTCCGAGGCAGACGTGTTGCAATTAGCTTCCATTCCTTCGGGCACTGTAGGAGCGGAGCCTCCAAGTGCATGTCTTACGAACTTCAATCAGTCATCTTCCGCCGTCTCTGGCTCAGTTGATAACGAAGATTTAGATGCCCGTCGCGCACTGTGGCAGGAGACGTGGAAGGAAATTCTTCCCGCTAGTCATGTTGCCACCGCTACCTCTCGGTCCCACTTTTGTCTCGCGGGTGGTGTCACAGCTGCTGCTGTTTGCCCCCTTGCCGACCTCCTCAAGCCGCCTCTTCTAACTGCCTTCGTTTCCTCACTCTCTGAAGCTCTTCTCAGATCACCTTCTTGGTTCGTGCGAAATCAGGCCGCCCTTGCGCTTCTCTCGGTATCTGCTGCGATAGTCTCGCAGCCTATGTTCATGCTCACCACCGTGGCGTCTTCGCTGGCACGCGATGTAGCCGGATTCGCACAGAGCAACTCACCGAATGACGTCGCCTCGTCGTCGAATCGTGCCACGTCGGCGGCGCCACCTTTGCCTTCCGAGTGTCTTGATCAAGGAGATGAAGACGAGGAGTGTGATGAAGATGATGCTGAGGGGGAAGAGGAAGACGACGACGACGACGACGATGAAGACGACGAGGAGGAGGAGGAAGAAGAAACTGTATTTTTGATTTGGAATGAGCTGGTTCGTGTGCTTGCGTCTGCACTGAAAGAAACCGGTGCATGGGCCGGCAAAGTACGCTGCTTGTTATTATGTATTGTCGTACTATAAGTGAGGGAATTTTTTCTGCTCAAAATCTCGTGTGTTCTTTAAAGATTTGTCCAACCTTGTAATACAGCTTGCCTGGAGTAAGGAATATTCTCTCTTAATATATTTACCCTGTAGGTTTATCTCCTACGTGCTGCTCGAATGCTGTCTCAGGCTGCCCTTGAGCGCGAGTTTGCATTAGAAGATCCAAGTAATGAACTTATCAGTGAGGTATGTGCCCATGTTGGGCGAGGTTTCCAGCTTCAAGCAGTGTTGCAACCACGCGTCGATCCTTGCTTAACTACCACTTTTCTCAGAAGCAACTTTGTAGTCGGCTTTTAGCCTTTTAAAGATAAAGCTGTATGTGCCTGCGACCAGTAGTTTACCTTCATATTGTTGTCACGCATAGCCCTTATAACTGCCTCTCATCTAGATCAAGTTCATGAAGTATAGACCTGGTGCTTAATTAACTGTGCACTTTCCCATTATTGTATTTGGCCCTCTAGTACTCGTTGTCAATTAACATGTGCTTGGCTCTGACCATCGTTGCACACTTTCGGACGTACAGTCTGGTTCAAAACTCACTGATAGAATCACGGACTCAAATGCCTAGTCAATTATGCTCTCCAATCCCATTTATCAAAAGAAAATGCCGAGTAGGCAGGTTGTTCATGGGAAGGGAAAGTCGAATGAAATTAGGCACCGAATAGGAATTCAACTACTCTATACAGATGTATATGGAATAGCATTGCAAATCACTTTGAAAAGGCGGCAAAAAATTTGGTTCCAAAATGTTTTCTTGACATTCGAATTCGTGTTGCCTGCTGTAATCTGCATGAGATCAATTCCAGAGGTCAGCGAACTGTTAATTATCTGAACTTATGGAAGACTTGTTCACGACCTACGTATTCCGATTTAAGAATAGGCGCATTGCCTAGGGGGCATCAAACCACACGGATGGCTAATTAAATCATTCTGTTTCAAAAGTTGCCTTCATAATATGGTGAATCCGTCACTATTGAGGCAGCCATTGCACATTCTGCAAATTGTCGTCTCACCATTGTTGGCGACCATCGGACCTGCATATTTATTGCTATGCTTCTTCGTACTTACTAGTTTAAATAATACCGCAAGAACGACTTTTTGTCTAGGGTTGGTTTTGAAGCCCCTGACAAATATGGTTTTCTTGATAAGCGTGGCTTTTTGATGACCGATTTCTATTTATACCACTTGGATTTCGTGCGTCTTATGATCGCCGATTTGCTGCGTTGAACAGCTCTAAATGCTTTCCCAACATCGTCCCCTTTGGGACTTTTAAGTGTTGACAATATTTGAAATGGCAGCCTGTGATTGACCCTTCCTTCATCTTACTGTGCTCATTTGCATTTGGATTCCACTATCTGCTGTTCTTCGAGTCTAATAATTGAATGTGGTACTTTTTTGATCATCTGAAAGAGAATACGAGAGTGATGTTCATATATGTGATAGCGAGTTGTCAGAGTCGATGGTACATTCAAAGAAAAGCCAATGCTCCATCATTTCGCCACTGATTGTTAAATAGAAATGTTTGTAATTCACTCTGGTCCAGCGTCAAATATTCTAAGTAGCCTGGTAGATTGCATTTTATGCTGCTTCAATGATTTACTTGTTTCCGTAAATCTGTCTTATTATGTAAATTAACGTCTTATAGGCTTTAATGTAGTCAATACGGATACATATAATCAGAGTTATTTCTTTCATACCAGCGATATCCTGGTTTAAAGCATATTGAGCTCACTCTGTCCATTTTGCTTATTTATATCACTGAACTCAGAAACACGCTATACGTCTCAATGTGCAACACAGCCGTTTCTTGCCAACAAAATTCTCATTCCAATCAAAAGATTTCTCTACAGCAAAAATTAATAGCCGTCAACCTGCAAGTGACTATTTTTCATCCTATTTCTAAGATCTGGGCCGTTTTAATACGCGAAACGCGTTCCGGCCGAGCTGAATTCGCTGGCCCTGGCTACCAGGCGGAGGCATTTTTGGCGCTCTCCAACTTCGCTGAAGCCTGTAGTCGCGATGCCTCGGGCCTGACCGACATGGACGGTAAGGACGATCGTCTCACACGCCTGTTGCGTCTAATCCTTCCCAATGGCATCCCAGACGCCGGAGAACACCAATCCTCTTCCAAGAAGGGCAGGCAGACTCAATTCCAGATATCTTCTGAGTTAACAGAAACTGAACTCGAATTGGCTATTAGAGCTTTGGGCATAATGTGGCCTCTCCAGCCTCGACAAGCCCATCGTGAGTCGGATTCTGCGCTCACAGTTTCTAATGCGTGTTTTACTCGGTCAAAAATTATTTACTTTTTTTTCAGTTGATCGCTTTGTTGATACCCTGCGCCACATGAACTTTTTACTGACACAAGGTGGCTGGCGTATTCAGGCGGCTGCTCTCGCCAGTATACTCGCGATGTTCGCAAAGTAAGCTTTCGTTTTCACTAGCACGAATTTTATTGTACTGGCTTTGCTGAACGGATTTGCGATAGTAAGGAAATGGTAGAAGGCGCTACCTAGTAGGGCTCTTTTTAATACTGATGGTAAATTTCGTTTTATTGAATGTTTCAGACGAAATGGGTCACACATTAATCCTAGTCCCCATCGATAGTCTTACACCCCTCAAACGTTTCATTTTCCTTATTCTAAAATAAGTGTTGTTTCATAGCGAAAATGTGTTCATTGTAATTTTTTTACCGCGAATAAGATGTTCAAAAGGTATATGCAGCATTAGATAAAAGTGGTGGGTAATAGACAACTTCTCAGCCCAAATCCCAGGTTCGTATGCAGTAATGTTGGTGTCGTGTTATCTCACATTAGGACCGTATGTCATGAAATTTTAAGCTTGCTACCTAAGGATTGACTTGCTTGGGGTCAGCCTCAATTTCAGCCAAGTCAAGTTCAATGTTGATTTCATTGAGTCTTGCTAATTCTAATCTCTCACAGGTATCGAAATGGCCGTTTGTGAATATTTTAAACCAATGCCAACAAATCCTGATAACTACAGGACTAGCATTTTACCCACAAGTTAATCCTCCATTTTTCAATCAACAAACGCATGCTCCCTCTTTCGAGTTTTCCTTCACGAACTTGGCCTGTTCGATATTGCAACGAAACTCCAGTACTTATGATCACTCATCTATGATCACGGTGTCATGAGATCAGGTGGTATATCCCATGTAAAACTACAGGCACCTGTTCTCGACTAAACTGGGGCTTTTGAGATGTACGTTTGACTCCTCATTTTCAAGATTAACAAACGAACAAAGTGAGCAACTAGTGAAGAAGGCCTCGGAGGGCAAAGGGAAAGTGGTCGAACAGTTGGGTCTGAAGGACCTCGTGACTCGTCTCAAGCGCTGCGTCGAAAACACAAAATCACAGGTTTTACGTGAGCACGCTCTTGGCACGATCGCCAGCATCATACGACATCGAGGTAAGCCCTCTCCGAACTCCATCTCAGCGGTCTTGAAATCGGCATGTATTGTTTCTAGCCATAGGTCAATAATTCGCCCGAAGATGGTTTCTTGTCCACTTTTGGGTTTGGCATTCCTGTAATTCACCAATCAATTTAATTATGACCAGTTTTTATCCGTTTAGAAGTAATTATGAAGTAGCTTAATTTCTTAAATACACCATCATACATCCGAGTTGCCACTCCACGTACAAATTCACAAATCAGTGAATATGAACGGAACCTTTAGTTATTTGGACTCGAGTAAAGAAATTCATTTTTGAATTTTTTTTAATGCGAAGTAAGTGGTGGTTTAATGGAGACTGTTTTTTTTCTTGTAGCCTTTGTAGGTTTACTCCATGATCAATTGCAGCAACTTGTCCAATCGTATGCAAATTGCGGTGCGTCTAATCTACGGGATTGGGCATCCGCTTTATTAAAGAGTCTTTAAGGAAGCAACTTTTTTGAATTCCCTTCCTCGTTTGCCTTGTTTCGTCCCAATCACTGAAAGGATAAATTTTGTCTGCAAAATTACTCTTTTCAAATCATTAATGTGGTTTCTTGGATTTTTTTCTAGACGCCCACACAATAGGCTTGCCTTTCCTGATTACCGATAAGTACTGATGGAAATGTAAGTGGCTACGAAATGAAAAGGCGGCAATTTAACGCGAAAATTCCAAGATTGTGACTTATTAAAAGGTCGCTTGAAAGTCGAAAAAATGAGTAGAAAAAGGTTTAAGGGTCTTCAACTGCAGAGCAAGAGATCTTTGTTGTACCAAACCAATAAGTAACTGTATGAAGCAGTAGGAGCCACTGAAAACGGTTTAGCTAAAACACTGCATAATGGCTTTGGTTTATTGACGGATTCCGAATAAAAGGCGACCACACTGCAATTGGTAAACAATGCTCTGCATTTCTAACTCTAGTGGCACCCTTGTTTCGATTTTGTGTGAAATAAGGCTTCAGTTGTGATTCCTCGAATAAAATCAGAATTTGTGGATCGGGTACAACTCGTGGCGTTGTCTGTACTAGTAATCGTGTGATTGGTAAGTCAAATGTTCAGTAGTTTGGCTAGCTACGTTCAACGGCCTATCGAGGCACCGTTTCAGAGTGAATCTCATTGTTTACAACTTATCGTTTCCCTTCACTTCTATTACATAATATTTTTGAAGGCTGCCTTACCTTCAACTACATCCACTCGACGGTGAGTTTGACAAAGAGTCAAAATTATTTTATAATCGCGCTGTCAGAAACACCAAAGGTGATATGTTAAAGGTATCCCTTGCCAATTATATCGTACGGCGCTTGAATTGGATGACCCACTTAGAAAATTCCAACGGTAGCTGATGACGGGTCGTATAATCAATTAGGTCTTTCTACTTGCCATGAAACAATGAGGTCTTCCATCATATTTATTATGCGAAAAATCACGTGCAAACTACATTTATTCTACATATCAACTAATTAAGGCAACCTGCCGTATCAGAGGCAATTTTCAAGCGTGCTCAAGTTCAATCCTGTGGTAGATCTAGAGCAGCCCTTCTACAACATTGCAATATCTGAGGTGCCGTTTGTAGACACATTCATCGTCGGGGAAAGTTCGTGTTCTATTCCCCAATTACCATAATTTGGATATTGGTACTTCGTCTGTGTAAAATTCACGCGGAATTTATGACTTTATTGATTTATCGGTCATCATTCCGATTTGTGTTTGCTTTTTAGTTGATCATGTTACACATTTCAGAGAGTGCCGTTTAGATGTGGCGATACTTCATCGTTTTTTACTATTTCGTTTACTCTATATAATTCTCATCGAAATTCACACTTTACAGATTGCACATCTCTCCCCACGCTTGCAATACTGAATTATTTCGTGGGGAATCGATCATTTCACACCATTCACGTGTGGTAACACAGGCGACGATTAAAATGGCTGTCACTATCGCAACGTGCATGACCGGGTATCATATCTATTTTTTTAAAATAAAAAGTCGTACACTATGTAACGTTTTCAGTAAAGGCCAAGCTTTTAATAAACATCCAAATATCGTATTGCCTAAATGGTTGCAACATCTTTCCATTCGCAACCATAAAAATAACAAAACAGGCGTTGGCTAGCAACGATCATACAAAAAATAAGTTCACAGAAATGAACGATGAAAAAAGTATGTTCTTTAATCAAATGGGTTGAATGCAGGAACGCTTATCTGATTTAAATGGTAACGAAGTGGATGCGCGACATGTTTGTGGATGATGCCAGTGAGGTCTTGATTGATAATTGGAAAGTCACATGTAGAGAAAAGTTTTGATGTTTTTATTAATTGTAACCGCAGAGTTTGAAACATTACCAGCCACCCGTTTTTTTATAGAGAAGAGGTAGAAAGAAAGTAACATTTTGGATTTATAATTAAATAATAAGATAATTGTTTCTCTTTATATTGTATGAATGGATAGAAATTTATAATCTCTGGTGTGGGATGCAAAACGGGAGAGGTTGTGAAATAGATATTTTGTGAAACCTAGTAAAACTCCATCCAGTACTTGAGAAAGCAGACTTACATTATTTGACGGACCGAGTAGTGGTTTGTGCAATCAATCTATTCTAGTGTGGTGTGACAAGTGATTATTCAAGTTGGTATCAGCCAGAAATGAATGGTTTATGTGTTTGATAAATGTGCGTCTGAATCCATGAACTTTTATTCTGATCTCAGGATCAAATTGCATGAATTAGTAGACGGGAACGTAATGAGTCAAGGTATTGTAGCCTGCTGTGTAGAGATTGTTATGCGAACAATTTAGCGGTGAGTAGTTCTTATTGAATTAATTCGAAGTTGGTCGTTCTGCACTTGAATAACTGCTTTGAACTTAGGATTAAATTATTGGATTATTTTTTTACCTTTCAGGTGAACATTTTAGATCAAATTATTGACAAATCTTCAGCTTGATATAGGAGGTTTAGTCAACACTTTGACTTCCAGGATCAAAGTCACATTAATATTTTTAAGCAACAGACCAATGCGCTTTCATAAAAGCCAGTGTATTGCAACGCAACCCTCATAATTTCATCTGCCACTTCTGAAATTTCAATAATAGTGAACAACAATAATAATAAAGCCAGTGTATTCAGTTTTCTATTTGAAAATTTTAGTGAAGGATTTGGAATTTGTCAAAATGATGTGTAAAATATATTTCGTTAAAATCTCAGAGCCTCACTCAAAAAAATGCTAACAGGAAAATAAACACAAATAAGCATTTATTTCAAGTAGTGGGTTTTTGGGGTAATTTTCGAAAGCTATTCGACCATGTAACCCTGATAGTGGAAAGTAATGAGCTCAACCGACAGCTCATCCATTGGCAGGAGGAACGCATTAATGCACACGAAAGTGAGCATTTCGTCAAAACTTCTTGTTTCATACAGCTTTAGTAGGCGAAAACCCGATTTTTAAATTTGCTACATTTATGGAGATATATTTTAAATAAATCTCGTTCTGTTTCTAGAACGTGAAGATGAAAACAAAGGTTAATTATTAATATCAGGTTCCCCTTTCAATGACTTGACTAGGTTGTATTTAATGAAAGACGGAAAAGATTTAATAAATCAAAGTTAAAAGCAATCGCCAGTTGTTGATTTATTACTCAATAGTAATTTATTGATGCAGCTGTTTATGCTAAAAGCACTACAGACTTTCTAGGCTTCTCTCGTTGAATTGTATAAATATTAGAGAAGAAAGTAACGCTAGTTTTTTAGTTCCTTTTATTGCTGCCTTACCTGCTTCGCGAAAAAAAATGAAAAAAACACTAAACAAACTTATGAAATCATATTAAATTTGATCTTTTTTACCTCAGGCCTGTTATTTTGTCTATTGTTACCCCATTTCCAAGTTTTGCAAAGAGCCTCAATTCGTATTTTATTGCCTTATGTCAACACAATTCAATAATAATAAAACTAAGATGATCTTCTTTGACTTAGTAACCCAGTTAAAGGAGGTCTTAACAACACAAAAATTGATTTCATGGAAGATAACTGAGTTACTTTAAATGATCCTGTTTGAATAGCCAATAAGGTCACTCAATTTGGTATTCATGGTAGCCCATTTTGGCATTTATGTACAAGCCTGATATTGCACCATAATGGATTTTAATGAGGAGTTCCAGGAAACGGTTGCTAGCCTAGCTTTCCCCACTTATGAACTTCTCGAAGATGCTATCAGGCGATTCACAAAGGTATTCTCAAGATCTATTCTAGGCACTCTCTTAGATTACTGGAAGTCAATTTGCCCTGAAGAAAAAGGTGCGCCACAGAACGGGCGCCCCAATGCGAGATGCCCACAAATTTCGATATGCGCTTTTCAGGTGTATTTGCTCTTTTTCCACAGAATGCGAAGCCTTTTTCAACGTCGCCTCAAAGGGGCAGACGTTACGTGTAACACAGTTCTATATGGTACATAATCATGCTGTTGTATATAATCCTGCCTTTAAGCAGCGTGGAGTTGATGGTACAGCCATACAGTCTATATGTAATTTTTAGATGACGAGGGTTATGATGTTAGATGCGACCTTACGGTTCAGTTTGAAGAGTTTTTTCCCGTCAAATCTTTCGCGACCTTTGATGAGTTCCTGACAAAATTACAGGAATTTCAAGATGTAAGGCACTTATGCATGTATTCAGGTATTCTTGGTCTAGGCGACAGGCTGCATATTTGTTAAAAGAAACGCAGATAGATATCCCCCAGAGGCTATTGACAAGCAACATCTAGTGTACAAGGCTGTAAAAATGGAGTGTGTTCATTATGGACACCGACAAGATTCAAAGAAGCCAAGCCACACTAATTTGAGGTTCCATTTAATAGAATTTCTCATTTTTATTATAGGATAAGTTGCAAGATCGGTTGTCGATGTTGTATTCACATATCTACTTATAAAGGCCGAGTTGCTATTGGGAAATACTTTATGAAACACAACCACCCAGTTCCGATTGAAGAGGCAATTCAATATCCCCAAGCAACGCACTTATCCGCTTGTGATGATTCACGTAGGCTGTTTCTTACATTTCTCTGAAATAAAAATATCTGTAGATTACAATGTTGTCTACGACGTAACCACTCAGTTCGTTGAAATATTTTCGTCCGGCCGATTTCCGACTTACCAAGATTTCTTAGTGAGACTAGAGGAGTTCCAGCGGGTAAGCCTTTTATTCCATTTAGCATGCACGCAACCACAGGAAACGGGTTGTTTATACAGTAAGCGCATGTCCAACATGTGGCCGGCAGAAGCTAAAGACAAAGAGCATCTAGTGTACAAATTTGTTATTTTTGATTGTGTTCATTTCGGCTACACACGGGACAATAGTCGGCGAAGATCCACTCAACGAAGAGCTGGGTTTTGGTTCGTTGTTACCTTCTGTAATAAGGGTTCTGTTTTAGCTTCCGGGGTAAAGTTGGTTGTAAATCGACAATGAGAATATCTACCATAAAGGGCTATGTTGAGATTGTAACATACGAGATGCGCCACAACCATCCCGCCTCTCAGGAAGCTTCCGATGAGTACCAGCCACAAAATTGGCTCCTCTCCGGCATAAATGTTGGAGATGACGACAAAGCATTCAAACGAAGGCGCAGACCAAAGAAACAGGCTCTAGCTAGTTCATCAGCCTCGCAATCGTCTACCCATGAAAAGACGGATATCATATCCTCTCAATTGACAAAATTGAAAGAAATCGCTATGTCAGCCAGTTCAGATAAGCTGGAAATATTCTGTGGTCAGTTGTCGGATTTTGAGATACGCTGGCGCCAACGATTGATAGCAACGTACCAGCAGTCAGAAGACCTTCCAGACCCGAACTCCTCTCCTCCCATTCTACCATCGGGTTCAACCATCAAATTGGAGACATTGTAACTGTACACAGAAGGTCTTTTGCTCATGAACTTAATGTATATTTTAGTGTTGATGTAAATTTATACATACATTATTTGCGACAATCCTTAAATCCACCAAAGTAAGTATTCTCACAGTTCTCGCACATTTTTTGTACAAAGCCTATATTTACGAGTACGCAACAACTATTGTCCTGATATTCGTTTTTGTGCTGAAGCCGCAGTTGGAAGTTAGGGGAATATTTTGAGCATTATTGTAGAGCAATACTCTATGGTGGGCCCGATTTCACAGACGCTTGGTAACTAGTCGTCTTTGGGCCCCATGAATTCCCGCATGTTGCTATTAGACCTGTTTTAATCCTCCAGAACATACATACTCACGCAACTTGCACCCTCTTCCTTAATTACCTAAGTCAAATGGCTTTAGGTTGGTTCAGCGTCTCCCTGAGTAGGTTCAACTCGGAACTTATTTCGAGGCGTAATTGCAGTATAGCCCAACCAAATCTGCTTCTCTGACAATCGTCGTCACGCACTTTTTCCAAACACAAATTTTATCTAACTTCTGCCTCTATAACTTCTGTAGCTTTTACTTTGTCCGCGCGGATATCCCTACCCTTCTTCGTTTATGCTCGATATCCTATCCGTTTTAGTAGGCATTGTTTTCCCAAGATTCCATGTGCGTGCTGTCTAGATTCTTTTAATATCGTGTTAATGCGCCTCTATGCTTTCACATTATGATCAACAGAGGCTTTTAGTCACTTCTAATGCAAACTGCCAAAGGGCTTTTTCATCTTAATTTTAACTCTTATCGGAGAGTTTTGCTCTCCCCTCTCTTCAGGTCCTGTTAATTTTGGATTTTTATTAACTCAAACCAATATATGTAAA